AGTATATATATAAAAAATTAGCCGGGCATGGGTGTGCGTGCTGTAGTCCAGCTACTTGGGAGGCTGAGGCAGGAGGATCACTTGAGCCCAGGAGTTTGAGGTTGCTGTGAGCTAGGCTGACGCCACGGCACTCACTCTAGCCTGGGCAACAAAAGTGAGACTCTGTCTCAAAAAAAAAAAAAAAAATACAGATACATGATGAAGTAGAACTTTTAAATTCCTGTAAATTTTTAAGATAAATTAGGAATTACCAAGGAATTTTGTACTTTCATATCCATGTAGGGTATTAAGGAGAATCTATTGGTGAAAATAATCAAAAAGGACGGCTCCAGTGCAGCCATTCCATCTTTTAAGAAAACAGGCCCAGGAGCACTGACCATCACAGGGCGCTAGTGTCTCAGTAACTGAGGTGCCTGCAAGGAAGATGGGGAGAGGCTTACTGATTTTGTTATTTGAAGTGAAGATTAGTATATCTTATTTTATATAAGAGGAAAGCTATCCATTTTCCAAACCACATTAATGAAGTTTAGCTATTTTGTAAAGATATTTTCCTAGGCATTTTTTGGATTTCAGAGACTTTCAGCAATAGGTTAGGGCTTTTTCAGTTGAGAATGTGTGGAATTAGGATTTTTTTTTTTTTTTTTATTTGAGACAGAGTCTCATTCTCTTGCCCTGGGCTAGAGGGCTGTGGTGTCAGCCTAGCTCACAGCAACCTCAAACTCCTGAGGCAGGTGATCCTCCTGCCTCAGCCTCCCGGGTAGCTGGGACTACAGGCACACACCACCGTGCCTGGCTAATTTTTTCTATTTTTTTTTTTTAGTTGTTTGGCTAATTTCTTTCTATCTTTAATAGAGACAGGGTCTTGCTGTTGCTCAGGCTAGTCTTAAACTCCTGAGCTCAAGCAATCCTGCCTCAGCCTCGCAGAGTGCTAGGATTATAGGCGTGAGCCACCGCGCCTGGCCCTGGAATTAGGATTTAATCAATAATGTTGTCCTGTCAAGTTTAGGACCGTGAAATTATGATGGATTGAAAGAGACTGAAGACTTCAAGGACAGTCAACCTATTGTTTGGAAAAGGTTGAACCCCACTAGATGTTTCCAAAACAATATATACTTTATTAGCAAGACTGTGATGGTTCATGTGTACCTTTGAAATGCTTGATTAGTAGAACTCTTCCCATTCCTACTGTAACCACTTGGCTCAGGCCTCATCACCGTTTTTTTTTGTTTTTTTTTTTTGAGACAGTCTTGCTTTGTTGCCCTGGCTAGAGTGCAGTGGCATCATTATAGCTCACTGCAACCTCAGACTCCTGGGCTAAAGCAATCCTGCCTCAGCCTTCCAAACAGCTGGGATTACAGGGCCAAACCACCATACCCAGCTGATTTTTTCTATTTTTTTTTTTTTTTTTTTTTAGTAGAGATGGGGTCTTGTTCTTGCTCAGGCTGGTCTGGAAGTCCTGAGCTCAAGTGATCTTCCCACCTCGGCCTCCCAGAGTGCTAGGATTACAGGCATGAGCTGCTGCAGCTGGCCCTCATCACCTCTTAATTAAACCTTCAGTGTATCAGTGTGTGAAATTGCCTTCCTCTTTGTTCCAGTCCATGTTCTGTGCTGCTAGGAGTTATTTTCTTGAAAATCATATGTGCTCATACCAGTCCTTTAGAGAACTTCACTGGGGTCCTGTCCAGTGCCTGTGCCTGTCACGCAGCCCACAAGAACCTGCTCTCGACAGTTTTGGGACCTCTATCTCATCTACTAAGCTTTTTAGCCTTTCTGAATTTACCATACCTTCCCGATAGGCCATTTCCTTTTATGGGTGTTCCTTCTGCTAGAATTCCCCTTCCTTCCTGGCCTATGTTAGCCTAGCCTCTCCTCTCCTCTCACTAGGCCCGTGCAGGCACCAGCTGGTCAGGCTGCTTTTCACAGTCCTTACTGCAGTATAGCGCAGTCCTTGCAGTCACTACTTCATTGAATTGTTTTCCATTTAAAAAACTTTAAACAAGTAATGTCTTATCTCTGGCCCTGTTGCCTGGCACTTATATTTGTTAACAAGAAATTGTATATGAGTGCTCAAGACATTAGATGTAGGATCAGACCAGATTGTCACAGAGAGGGTTCCATCAGAGAGGCTGTTCAGAGAAGATCTGTCACAGGCTGGATCGTTACAGAAGTGGACTTTGTGTGAGAGATGGGGTGGAAATCACACCTGAGGTGAGGTGTGAGATGTGGTGCTGGGTAGAATTCAGGGTTTATGGAAAGGATGGTAAAGGCACCAACTTGAATGTGTTAGAGATGGTGTAATGTAGGAAATATATAGTTTCTTAAATCATACAAACCTAAGTTACGCTCCTTGTGTGCTTCCCTAGTGTGTTATCGTATACTGATGACTTTACTTCCCTAAGTGACAGGAAAATGGGTGTGATAATGTCCACTTCACAGGGTTGTGATGATTTAGGAAAGATAACCTAAGTAAGATACATCATCCAGGCCTGACACATCACAGGCACTAAATAGTTCTACATAGTGGTTCTAGTTGATTATGTGGACAATGAGAAACCTTTCATCAAATATAATAGAACTTTCTTTACAGAGCAGACAATAGAAATGTGTATCAAGGTTTGCATTTCTTGTCCATTAATATGGTAGCATTTACTGTGACTTGGATTTTAGTTGAGCTTTGTTTTTAGCTCATTGCTCAATTAAGGAAGAAAATTCATAATATTTGTTCCTCAACTATTTTACTTGTAGGGTTGAAGATGGTTGACATGTCTATTAAAAAAAAGGCTTTGAGTTCTTGGCAGGAAAGTACCATATAGGTATGGACATCAGTATTTGAAAACTTACTGATGACCCCTGGTTGAAAATAGGACATTCTAAGAGGGAAAGTCAGCTGTTAATGCTGTACTAGTAGAATTGGTCTTCTCCTGGCCTGGTTGGTAAGTTTTCTTTAGCTTTGATGTGGTGTAACCTTTTGAGGATAGTTATGATGGATATGAATCCTCCTTCTTGTTTGACCTGCAAAACTTTCCAAAAGGAGGTACCTTTATAATAATGATAAATTTGGTGAAACCTGTGGGGTTTAAAAAAAAAAAAAGCTTATTATGACAGTATTGAAAGAGGAAGCTAATCTGTGTTGTCAGCTGAGGCCACAGCTAGAGATGGAACTGTTTCTCAGAAAATACAGTGTGAGGGTAGGAGGCAAAGGTACTGTTGATCAGAAGTTGGCTTAATTTTTTTTTTGAGACAGAGTCTCGCTTTGTTGCCCAGGCTAGAGTGAGTGCCATGGTGTCAGCCTAGCTCACAGCAACCTCAAACTCCTAGGCTCAAGCAATCCTGCTGCCTCAGCCTCCCCAGTAGCTGGGACTACAGGCATGCACCACCATGCCCGGCTAATTTTTTCTATATATATTAGTTGACCAATTAATTTTTTTCTGTTTATGGTAGAGATGGGGTCTCAGTCTTGCTCAGGCTGGTTTCGAACTCCTGACCTCGAGCAGTCCCCCTGCCTCGGCCTCCCAGAGTACTAGGATTACAGGCGTGAGCCACCACGCCTGGCCTATGGATTCTTCTTATTGTACATTGGGCAAACGTCTGTTTTCAGTTGTGCAATAGATATGAGTAGCCTTTGGGTTTGTGTTCTTTCTGTGATTACAACATGAGGAAGTACATTCCTTTGGTGTGATATTTTAGTGGAACTTTAATTTTAAGGCTTGTATAGCATTCTAAAAGCTTGCATTATTCTTTTATCTAAGGATATATGGTCTTTGTTAATTAGGTTGCTGACCTTTTTACTATTTCACATAATTTAACAGTTAAAGGGTGATTAAACTGTTAAAAAAAAGTGACTGTTTAAAAAAAAGTGCTTGTTGACATCATCTTTCCGAGAACACTAGTATATGTGATTTACTATAACAAGATCTTAGTTTTTCCTATTGGCAAATAACATGTAATATTTACAGAGGTCTTGGGTTCAGTCCAGCAGAAACATCTCAGATAAATTGATGTGTGAAACTAAAACCATTTAACATTTTCTTTCATATGGAGATAATATAAACAACGTTTTTAGTTTAAAAGCAAAGAGAGTATTTAGTATAGATTTCCTTGAGGGGAACAACTTATAATAGAATGTATTCTCCAGAGTTAAACGTCAAACCTCATGTTTTCAGTTTATAATTCAGTGATATGCTTCCAAAAGTTGTGCATTTAGAATTCTCAGTGAATTCTGTGGTTATGCACTAGCTTTTTCTCCTTGTTACATGTTTCTCTTTCTTTCTCATCTAAATGTATGAGGTCAAGTTTTGTATTTCACATATTTAAATTAGCATAAATTCTAAATCTGAGATTTTTACTTTTAAGAACTAGAAATATATCTAAACTGTTAAAACAACCTAATTAATGAAGTTATCTTCAGCGGTCTTTTAGAGAATACAGTTTGAATATTCCAACTGTCTTTAAATATTTTCAGCACTTAACCTAAACATAGTTCAGGGCTAAAAATTATTTAAATGTAGTTTAATGTATATCTATTGAGAAATAAAGGAACTGTAACATAATTACCTGGAAATTTAGTCTCATCTCTTTGAGGCCAGTTATCTTTTTAAGGTAGACCAATTCTTAGGTACCAAGAATCTAAATGATCCTTTTACTTCTAGGAAGGTAAGTACCTTATTCATTTTACTATATTTCACTCTAGTCAGTTTTTCACATTATAATAGCTAATATATTACAAACAGAAGCACTCCCCTTTCCAACTTACTGATGGACTAAATTTAAAAAAAAAAAAGCACTTCCCTTCCAGTACCACAGTAATAAACAAGATTCCATTTTATGCTTCCTAAAAAAAATAGAGAATAAGTTAGAATGTGTCTCAACTCCTCTATGCTGCTAATTTGTATTTGTTTTATTTCTCCTATCCTTTTATGAATACCTAGAACATTCATATTAAGAAAAAAGAAATGATAAATTTGAAATGACAGTTACAGTTTGTTGTTCTCTATTTTCAGATGATCACAGTCGTGTTAAACTGCAAAATACGGAAAATGATTATATTAATGCCAGCTTAGTTGACATAGAAGTGGCACAAAGGAGTTACGTCTTAACACAGGCAAGTAGTATAATGTCAAGCAGATGCTTGAAAATGAAGTTTTTGTGGTGGTTTGCTTTAAAACAAAGCTAAAAGTATATATTGATTTCTTTTGGAAAAGAAATGTTATTTCAGTTTTTTCTGGTGATATAATGAATTATAGACATTATAAAGTTTTGAAGCTTTGAATAGTTAAGGTAAAAGTCAAGTTATTTTTAATGTTATACATTCTGTGAAGGAAAAATTTTATAAAGTGGCTTAGGAGGCCAATTCTTTGCAGGCAAATTCTCTTCCTTGCTTTATGCTTGATATAAGCTTCTGTTAATGCTGTCTTAGCTTCTTCCCTTTCTCTTTCCACACCTTGGAGCATCATCAGAGGCTCTTGGCAGCACTTCTCTACCCCTATGACACATACTTCCACAGAGTGCCATGCCTTGCATGATGTTTGGCCTTCTTCAGGGTTGGGGAGGATGCTGAGACCAGGTGCCCCAAGGCCAGGTGGTAACCAATGTTCTCTATTTTACATGCTTTGTGTAATTTAAACCTCAGGACAACCCTCTGTGGTAAATATTATTACCCTTATTCTATAAATGAGGGATCTAAAGAGACCCAGAGACAATAAATAACTTAAGGTTATACAACAAGTAAGATGAAACCAAAGTTTGAAACCAAATAGGCTGCATGGTTCCTGCCCTTGGTTGTTCTATTCTAGTACCTGTGATTGCTGTGTGACCTTGGACAAATTACTTAACTTCCCAAGCCTATATATAATCTACCTACCTACTTATCTAATCAATCAATCAGTTTATCAGTCATCTATAGGTAAATGTTATGAGAAACTCCTATAGTGCCTGGTACTGTGGTAGGCCCTCCATGTGTTATTGTAGTAATTACGGTAATAGTTATCCTTTTATAAAGGATCTTACATCCCGTTATGATAAAGAAAATGCCTGGCTAATACTCTATTGATTGTTTTTAAACCTCTTGTTTCTGTTGAACCATTTTTGTGTATCTTGAGGGAGTCCTATTCATTTAGAGTGTAAGAATTCAGAAGCTTGTCTCCAGCTTTGTCTTCTCTCCTGAATTCTCCCCTATATTTTCCAGGTCTGTACTGGATGTTTTCACTTAGATCTCAAATTCTGTACATTCCATATCCTTTTTTTACCAATCCAGTTCCCTTCCTGTCCTCATCATCTGTCAAGTCCTTTCCCATTTTCTGCTGTCCCCGCCCCTTTTCAGAGCTCTCTTAAATGTCACTTGTACTGATGTAGCAGCTTTTTAAAGTCTCTCCTTTCCACTGTCCCTCCTACTGAACAGGTGTAGTTTCCTACTACTACTGCCGTTTCCACCTCACTAATCTATTCCTCTTCTCCCAAATGTGCCGCATAAACTTTCACATGCCTTGCCATATGCTTGGAGTGCCTGAAACAGGCCCTGCCTCCCTCCCATCTTTCTCCGTGCCCTCTTTGCATCAGGACTCTCTTTTTTTTTGAGACAGTCTCTCACTTTGTTGCCCAGGCTAGAGTGAGTGCCATGGCATCAGCCTGGCTCACAGCAACCTCAATCTCCTGGGCTCAAGCAATCCTCCTGCCTCATCCTCCCAAGCAGCTGGGACTACAGGCATGTGCCACCATCCCCGGCTAATTTTTTCTATATATATTAGTTGGCCAATTAATTTCTTTCTATTTATAGTATAGACGGGGTCTCGCTCTTGCTCAGGCTGGTTTTGAACTCCTGACCTCAAGCAATCCGCCCGCCTAGGCCTCCCAGAGTGCTAGGATTACAGGTGTGAGCCACCGCACCTGGCCTAATTTTTATCCAAGTTATAAACCACAGTTATGTGTGGGTATTGCATTTCTCCATTCACTCAGTGACAAGAATTAAGAACAGATGATGCCTATAGAAAAAAGTATCTGTTCTTGATAGTTCTGCTACTGGCGTTATTATAGGTTGAGAAATAAGATTTCCTGTGGAATTGTGGTTTGGTTGCTTTTGTGGTGTCTTATGCTATATAGTTTGAACTATCTTTGTTTTTCTCCCTTTACTGAATCCTTTTAAAAGATAGGAAAGGGGGAGATAGCCATAGACTTAAAATGATGATAAAGTACTTGGGCTCTGGGATTTAACCTATATAGCCCAAGGGTTATGGGACACTGTCATTTTGATGATCTCATTCCAGAGGTTCTTATGGAAGTAGAAAAAGCATCTGTTTTTTTGGGTTTTTAAAATTCAGAACCCAAAAGTTTGATTTGCAAGGATCAGTTCACAGATTTTGGACCAATAGTAATGGGGCAGGGAAAGGAGACTTGTGACTCAGGTTGTAAGGGGGCCGGTGGTCTGGTCTCACCAGACACTAAACTCAACTTCAAGTGAGTCTTCGTTGAAAAAGAGGCAGCACCCTTCTGTGTTATCCTTTGCCAAAGGCTATAAATTATAAGGTCAGTTTCTCATAAAAAAGGCTTTGATAGTTTCACTTCCTGAAACATATATTTGCAATCTTTTTAGATAGTTATTTTAAGGTGATGTGTTTTAGTTAACACCAGAAGCAGTCTTATTTTTTCTCTACAGTCTCTTCTGAATAAAGAAGTATTTTTATATGTATTTTAATTTTGTATTAATCTTTTTTTTTTTTTTGAGACAGAGTCTCACTTTGTTGCCCAGGCTAGAATGAGTGCCGTGGCATCAGCCTAGCTCACAGCAACCTCAATCTCCTGGGCTCAAGCAATCCTCCTGCCTCAGCCTCCCCAGTAGCTGGGACTACAGGCATGCACCACCATGCCCGGCTAATTTTTTCTATATATATTAGTTGACCAATTAATTTTTTTCTGTTTATGGTAGAGATGGGGTCTCAGTCTTGCTCAGGCTGGTTTCGAACTCCTGACCTTGAGCAATCCGCCTGCCTCGGCCTCCCAGAGTGCTAGGATTACAGGCGTGAGCCACCGCGCCCGGCCAGGACTCTCTTTTTTAAGGCTCTGTTGTTGTGTCCTTCCTACCTGCAAGACCTGATGGTTTATCCTTACGCTTGTGGCACTGGATGTGTTCATTAGTTGTACAAATACTACTTCTTGCCAACTTTGCAAGCTCTTTTTGATGGTAAGACGGCATCTCAGGTTTGCTTTTGCCCTCATACTTGGCATGTTGTTTGGAACAGAATAAGTACTCAGAAAGTGTTTCAAAGGATGGAGAAAACTGGAGATGCTGAATGTTTATTACCTCAGCTTTTCTGATTGTCTTCAGTTACTTATTATTTTAATTGCCTTTTCCTCAGAGTTTTATGAATTAGTTTTTTAAAATCTGCTCTATAGTCTATTACATCCATTTTACAGATGAAGAAAATTGGTAGCATTGCTATGAAGTGGAGGAACTGAGAAATAAATCCCTATCCCTCTGATTGAAAAAAAAAGCCTGTATTCTAGGCCAGGTGTGGTGGCTCAATGCCTATAATCCTAGCATTTTGGAAAGCTGAGGTGGTAGGACTGCTTGAGCCTAGAAACTCAAGACCAGCCTGAGCAACATAGTGAGACCTTTTCTTTACAAAAAATTTAAAAATTAGCCAGGTGTGGTGGTACATGCCTGTAGTTCCAGCTAGTCAGGAGGCTGAGGCAGGAAGATCCATTGAGCCTAGGAGTTTGAGGCTGCAGTGAGCTGTACTGTCTCAAAAAAAAAAAGAGTAAGTCCCTGTCTCCAAAAAAAAAAAAAAAAAGAAAAACCTGTATTCTTTTTACTATAGCAACTATTTTCCTATTTATTATTTAGTCTTTAGAGCTACTAATAGATTGGGGTATGTGTGTAAACACTAAGGAGTGACCTCACTGGTGAATTGCTACGTCCATATTTTTTAGATTAAAGAAAAGGGCATTCATTTTACTGGATATTTTCTCATTGCTTTTTACCTTTAGAATGTATGTTTTGTTTTTGAAGTAGATGAAACATTATATACATACATTGAGTGAGGAAAACAGTCCTCAAACATTAGATTGTAGTTTTCTCATGATTCTCAGTAGATTTCTAGCATTTTTACAACTTAACCTTAGCGTTTGTTCACTTAAATAATATTTATTGAGCATCTGCTACATACCAAGGAGTACATCTGCCCTAGAACCACTTGAATCCCCTTGTTGCATGTGGGGTTGAAGCTCTTGGAGGCCCTGACCCCCAGTGTCCTGACTCTGCCCTTAACTCACCATTCTACCATACTGCCCTATGAGTTGAATGCTTGTTCAGAGTTATTTTAGATACAATAAAACTTCATTTTTTAATGTTTACTCATTTGAAATTAGTTACAATTTGGACATGGACTTTTCATTGTCTTTTCTTTTCCCCTATGCTATTATAAGATGACATGCTTTCCCCCATGGCATTATTGTAATGTGGACTATTACCCCTTTAACTCTGCCCTTGAGGCTGCACATATTGTGCTTTTGTAGATTTTACAGTTTCGTAGAGGTTCAGGTACTTTCATTTCTACTTTTTCTGGAAAAAAATTTTTGTTTATTTATTTATTTTTTTGAGACAGAGTCTCCTTTTTTTCCCCAGGCTAGAGTGAGTGCCATGGCGTCAGCCTAGCTCACAGCAACCTCAAACTCCTGGGCTCAAGCGATCATTCTGCCTCAGCCTCCTGAGTAGCTGGGACTACAGGCATGCACCACCATGCCTGGCTAATTTTTTCTATATATATTAGTTGGCCAATTAATTTCTTTCTTTTTTATGGTAGAGACAGGGTCTTGCTCTTGCTCAGGCTGGTTTCGAACTCCTGACTTCAAGCAAATCCGCCCGCCTCGGCCTCCCAGAGTGCTAGGATTACAGGCGTGAGCCACCGCGCCCGGCCTGGAAAATCTTTTTATAGTTGACTTAGGTTAGTTGGCTGGCCAGTGACAGCACAGACCCTCTCATGCTGTGGGGCTTCCATGATCTGTTGGAGGCAGAGCCTGTTTTTCTGCTATGTAAGATGAAGGAGACAGAGATTTCCTTTTCCTACCTTCTTTACAGCTAGAACATGACCTATTAGATACTCCCACTCATGATTTTTGACTCTTATAGTAGGCATGAATACTCCAGCCACCTTTCTGTGGCAGTGCCAACAAAAGCAAGATGAAAGTAGTGCCAGTATCGGGAGCAGTGTCCCAAGTTGACTCTTTGGGACAGACTCTTGTCTGTGCTTAACTCTTGGCTCCTACCCAAGCCTGGTTCTCTAGCTCCCAACTCTGAAAAACACCTGATACCTTTTTTGCCTAAGTAAATAAAGGTCAATTTTGATTATTTATAACCAAAAATTCTAACTAGTACAGACCTGTTTTTGAGTTCCAGTAGATTAAAAGTCTTGGTTTACTTCTCCTGAGCCTGTCTTTTAGCATCCCAGAAGCAGACTTGGGGAGGCTTTCCCTGGAGCCTTGCTTGTTCTTGTCCCCTTCCGTCATCTACTCTTTCTGCTCTATTCTCACAGGGTCCACTTCCTAATACATGCTGCCACTTCTGGCTCATGGTTTGGCAGCAAAAGACCAAAGCAGTTGTCATGCTAAACCGCATTGTGGAGAAAGAATCGGTGAGTAATATTTAATATTTACAATCTAGTATACTGTATGTGATCATTAACTTATAAAGATTTTCTTTTTTTTGGAATATTTATTACTTATTTTTGGACTTTAATTGCTAAAGGCTAGTGGTCAGTGTGTTTCTGACCAGGAAAATTAATGTATCCTTTTCCTTTCTTCTCTTTTTTTTTTTTGGTAGACAGAGTCTCACTCTGTTGCCTGGGCTAGAGTACCATGGTGCCAGCCTAGCTCACAGCAACCTCAAACTCCTGGGTTCAAGCAATCATACTGCCTTAGCCTCCCTAGTAGCTGGGACTACGGGCTCGCACTACCATGCCTGGCTAATTTTTTCTATATATTTTTAGTTGGCTAATTAATTTATTTCTATTTTTAGTAGAGACAGGGTCTTGCTCTTGCTCAGGCTGGTCTTGAACTCCTGATCTTGAGTGATCCTCCCACCTCGGCCTCCCAGAGTGCTAGGATTACAGACATGAGCCACTGCGCCCGGCCTCCTTTTCCTTTCTTGCCTAAAATATTTATATAGCAGTTGCAGACCATGAGTCTCTAAGATATAAATAAAATCAAACAAATACTGACAAGTAGTGATATACAAATCTTTGGAATCCCAAGGCTTTATTAGAATTATAATTTATTATTAAAAATTTGAATATTTTCAAAATGATTAAAACAGGTTTTTTTCATCTTTATAAATTATAGTTGGCTCAGAGGTCATGAGATAATAAATATGTGCAAGTATAAATTTATTGAAATTTTAAGTTAGAATATAATTACAAAATGCCAATTAGTGATATACCTTTGGATAAGTCTTTTAGCTTCTGTAGCTTTAAAAGATTCCTTATGTGTCAAGCAAGCAAATTGGAAATTATTGTCAATCAGGTCTCTTCTAGGTGTAAGATCTATGGTTCTTCAGATTCCTGATTCTTTTTTCTGCATAATTGCTGGTTTTCAATGATGGTGAAAATGTTCTGATCTATTTCTAATCTGAAGTGGCATTGATATACCAGAATTTCCAACAGTATCAGCATAGTCATTTACAATAGTTTTTCATGGTCTATAATATCACTTAAAAATTAAGTGATGATGACATTGTCAGTTTGAGCAGCATTGCAGACTAGGTGATTTGTAAGTTTTATCCCTTTCATTTGGGAGTATAATTACTGTATTAATAAGATAAGACTGCCGGGCATGGTGGCCTGGAATTTTGTGATTAGTTAGGAAATATCCTAGCACTCTAGGAGGTGGGAGGATTGCTCAAGGTCAGGAGTTCAAAACCAGCCTGAGCGAGACCCCGTGTGTACTAAAAATAGAAAGAAATCAATTGGCCAACTAAAAATATATATATATAGAAAAAATTAGCAGGGCATGATGGCGCGTGCCTGTAGTCCCAGCTACACAGGAGGCTGAGGCAGAAGGATTGCTTGAGCCCAGGAGTTTGAGGTTGCTGTGAGCTAGTCTGACACCATGGCACTCTAGCCAGGGCAACACAGTGAGACTCTGTCTCAAAAAAAGAAAAAAAAAAATAAGATAAGACTGCTACCAGAATTTAGAAATCCTATTTATGGGGTTAGATCTGGATGCTTAATAAGATTCGGGTTTCATTATTTTGGGGCTGATTACTTCATGGGTGGTGGTATGTTCTTTATCAGGAGACCCATAATGTCTCATTATCTTTCTTTTTATGATATTAGTGGCTGTTATTGGTCAGCGCTTAGCTCCTTAATTCATTAGGGGTTACAAATGGGGTGATATTCTACCATTCCTTCTTCAGTTTTTGTTGGAATACTTCTATAAAAAGAAACTTCCCATTCTAGTTAGTTGAGCACTTTTATATAGGAAAAGCAGTTTTCAAAACAGAGTTGATTCCCTAGTGTCCTCAACAGGTGACCAGTTGGGGTATTTTTTTGGTGAAGAGTGGCAGGAGGGGTTGATTACTATGGATTTAAACATATTTCATTCATTTTACTCCTTTACATTTATTCTTAGTGTTGGTGAAATCATTCCTTTATTGTCTAGCAGGAATCTCTTCAGGTTGGTTCCTGAGTCCTTTTGAACACAAACCTTTAGTAGCTTTCTTGTTATCTGGAATGACTAATATTGCAGGCTCATCTTAAACTCTTGCTGCCCCAGACCTGGAATCAGCCATTTCTCTAAGAAGCCTTGGTTTCTTTTAATGGGTAATGACATTTCAAGATGACAACAAAAATAAGGATACTTACTGCTACTGAGTTGGTCATTGTTTTTAGGGCTTTTCAGCGGAGAGAGCTAAGGAAAAAATACGTGTTAAGATAACATACCTCAAGAGTTCTTACTGATATTTCCAGTTCAAATTTGGAACCGTAAAGGTTGGCTTAACCCCTTCTATTATGTTTCTGTTGCTTTTTTCCATACCAAGAATCCTGGTTCTCGGGGACATCAGTGATGTAGACTATCTTATTAATGACTTAATTGCTTCATCTCAGATGACACACAAAACATAGTCATAATAACAATATCAACTCTACCACCAAAATAATTATTGAAAATGGTTTAAAGTTATATATATATATATATTTTTCATTTTCTTCCTGGTGTGTGGTTTTCTTTTGTTGTTGTTGTTACTGTATTTACCTACATTGTCAGAGCATATAATAAACTATAGCCTCTCCTTTACATCTCCTTTTAAGTTAGTTTTACATGTAAATATGTATTTAATATTCATCACTAGTCTTTATTGATGTCTCTCCAATAGTTTTTTTTTTTGTTGTTTTTTTTTTTGAGACAGAGTCTCACTCTGTTGCCCGGGCTAGAGGGCCGTGGCGTCAGCCTAGCTTACAGCAACCTCAAACTCCTGGGCTCAAGCAATCCTCCTGCCTCAGCCTCCCGAGTAGCTGGGACTACGTGCATGTGTCAACATGCCCGGCTAATTTTTTCTATATGTATTTTAGTTTGCCAAATAATTTCTTTCTATTTTTAGTAGAGATGAGGTCTTGCTCTTGCTCAGGTCAGTTTCAAACTCCTGACCTTGAGGGATCCACCCGCCTTGGCCTCCCAGAGTGCTAGGATTACAGGCGTGAGCCGTACCATGCCTGGCCTCTCTAGTAGTTCTGACTAAAGCTCATTTTCTGGTGGATCCTAGGGAAGGACTCTTTGGTTTCTTACATGTCAATGATGGTTTATCTGCTGTCTTAGTACCTGAAAGTCAGTTTGGCAGAATATAAAATCTTTGGCTCCCATGTCTTTTTTTTTGAAGCAACTTAAATGTATTACTCCATTTCCTTCTAGCATTCTATCACAGTCAAATGGACATCTTATTTTTTTTTCTTTGTCTCTTGTTCTTTTTACCTACATTACCCAAAGGATTTTTTTCCTTTTCCTTCAAATATCATTAATTTTACCAAAATTTGTCTTAGTAGTTGATCATTCTGGATCAGTTTTTCTAGGTGCATGACGTGCTCTTTTGATATTTGGTTTCAAAATATTGAAACTAGCCCAGCTAATTTGACCAACAGTATGAATAACTGTAAAGGAATAAAATGAATCAAATATGTTTAAATCCATAGTAATCAACCCCTCCTGCCACTCCTTACAAAAGATGCCTCTATTTGGTTGTCTGTTGAGGACACTAGGAATCAACTCTATTTTGAAAGCTTCCTATATGAAATGACTATTTTCGTTATTTTTTTAAGTATTCTTCTTCTTCTTTTTTTTTTTTTTAAAGACAAGGTCTCACTCTGTTGCCTGGGCTAGAGGGCAGTGGCGTCATTATAGCTCACTGTAACCTCAAACTCCTGGGCTCAAAGTATTATCATGCCTCAGCTTCCCAAATACCTAGGACTATAGGCACGTGCCACCATGTGCAGCTAATTTTTAAAAAAATTTTTTGTAGATACAGGTCTCGCTATGTTGTTCAGGCTGGTCCTGAATTCCTGACCTCAAGCGATCCTCCCATCTTGGCCTCCTGAAGTGCTGGGATTACATGTGTGAGCCATCATACCTGGCTCTACTTTTCTTTTTATAAAGAAATATTTATTGAATTATAGTTCTTAATATTTTCTGTGGGCCTTGCTTGCTTTGGTGTTCTTCTTTGGGTCTTCCTATTATACATATGTTGGATTTTCTTTGCCTATCTTTTATATTTGTCATATTATTTCTAAACCTATTTCTCTCTCATTTCTCTTTTACTTTAAAAATTTCTTTCTTTTCTTCTTAAGACATTATCTGTTGTGTTTATTCACTCCTTTTTTCCTTCTAGTTTACTCCTCATTTCCAAAATGATGTGTTCTGTTATTTGTAATTCTTTTCTGTCTTCCATCTCCTTGTTTCTGAATTGTTCCAATTCTTATTTATACTCTCTTACTATCTTATATCATTTAAAAAATTCCTTTGGTACCTTTTGAAGTATTAGCTCATAGTATTCATTAGTATTTGTTTTGGAGGCATTTTAATTGTTTATTTATAGCTTTTCGTGATTTGGAAAATAGTAATGGCTATTTTTTTTTTTGAGACAGAGTCTCGCTTTGTTGCCCAGGCTAGAGTGAGTGCCCTGGCGTCAGCCTCGCTTACAGCAACCCTCAAACTCCTGGGCTCAAGCAATCTTCCTGCCTCAGCCTCCCCAGTAGCTGGGACTACAGGCATGCACCACCATGCCTGGCTAATTTTTTCTATATATATTAGTTGGCCAATTAATTTCTTTCTATTTATAGTAGAGACAGGGTCTCGCTCTTGCTCAGGGTGGTTTCGAACGCCCGCCTCGGCCTCCCAGAGTGCTAGGGTTACAGGCGTGAGCCACCGTGCCCGGCCAGTAATGGCTATTTTTAAAGGATTTTTTTTCTGGCATTTTTTTGTAGTGACTCTTTATTTCACCTTGCCTCAGTCTGATGGCTTCATAATTTGGCTTTGGGAAGATGCTTTTATTACCACAAATTTGAATTCTGTTTCAGTAGTTCTGCTTTGTTAATTAACAACTCTAGGTAAAGAGGGCTTATATTCTAATTCTCTGCCCTGATTTAACTTGAGTAAGTAAATATACAATGTTATTTCTAGATGGAGTATTTAGTAGCAGATTTGTAAGTATTTGTAAAATAAAGCTCTTCCATTACTGTTTGAAGATGAGATTCTTGCAAGAATTTCATACTTTTAGAAATAAATCGAAAGCCATGTGATGTTTAAAGTATAGGTTATGCTTTAAAAATAATAAATTTATTTTTTATGAATATCTGTTTATGGCTTGTTTATAAGTTATAGGAACATTTCACAAAGCTATTTTATAAAATGTCAATCCTATTAAAATACATTAAACATTGAATATAGTGGTGACTATTCGTAGCTTTGGGTAGCAAATATGTGTGTGGTTTGTTTGTATTTTTCAACTTTTTATGGTTTAATAATGTCTATAAACTATAAAAAAATGCATGTTTTAAAATTTAGGTTAAATGTGCACAGTACTGGCCAACAGATGACCGAGAGATGCTGTTTAAAGAAACAGGATTCAGTGTGAAGCTGTTGTCAGAAGATGTGAAGTCATATTACACAGTACATCTACTACAATTAGAAAATATCAATGTAAGACTTTTCTTGCCCCCAATTTTTTGACTTTATATGACAGTTTAAGAAATCTTTATTATTAGATTTGAAGTTTGTTACAGCACATGCATTTGGATAATATCGATAATGGTGTCTAGTCATAATCATTGTTTTCAGGTTATGTTCCTGTATGTAGTAGTTCTCGGAGGACTCTCAAGAAAACCTAGTGACTAAGAATTTCAAGGTTGAGGTTGATATTTGGTGATTGAAAATTAATTCTTAAAACTAGTTAGAGATTAAGAGGGGGGCTTTCAAATCAGGCAAACCTAGGTTCAAATCCCTGCTCTGCACTTAGTAGATATGTGCTTTGGATTTGTTCCTCAGTTTCCCTGAGCTAAAATAGAGGTTATACCTCCCTTCTGGGGCTGTCATGGAGACCAAATGAAGATGTATATGCAAAGCATCTAATGTAGAATAAATGGCCAGTAACCAATAAATAGCTCCTGGTACTTATTACTGTTGAGAATAACGAAATAGTTTTGAAAAGAACTTACTTTTGTTAAGTCATTCATGACACAGAAATTTGTCCTTATTGAGTTGGAAAAATAGTGAAATAAATGTAGCATATGGTCTTAAGAACATTTACTTGGATTTCCCCCCCAGAAATCTATGAATTGGTCCTTGATTGAGGTAGGTTATGAACCTGCTGTTTCTAAGCTAGTGATCAAGGCATTTCTCCCCCTTTTCCCACTCGCCTCTTTTGCCTTTTTTGTGTTATAATTAGAATAAGCTGGAAAATATGAAGAGAGAGTGATTCTGAGATGCTAATAGAAACTTGGATAGCTAGAAAATAGGAAAATGTTTGGCCAGACATGACTTCAGGAATGTATCTAGTTTATAAAGTGAAAACTGTTTTAGTTAGCCATTAAGTGCATTAACTGATTAACATGATCACTAACAACACAAAAAAGCTTTAGGGAGTAGGGAGATATGTGTACACACATTCACACCCACACATACTTTTCAGATGTGTGGAAATGCCTTTTTACAGTTGATCTCTTGGAACACCTCTCTGTTTTTACTGCGTAGAGTAAGCATGAGTGCATGCTATGTGCTTACGGCCCAGGTTCTGGTTTTCCTATTGTTCAGCTTCCCATGACATAAATAAGCTTATTATGTGATCTTTTGAGTCACCTGAAGAGGCTCAAGGTTAGGAATTATAATGCTTAGATTTATTTATAAATTCCCATTAGTATATTTACTTTGTCCCTACTGTCCCATTTACATATGTCATCTACTGCATTGAGATACCTCAGTACCTTTTTTTTTTTTTTTTTTTAGTTAGAGTCTCTGTTGCCTGGGCTAGAGTGCTGTGGTGTCAGCCTAGCTCACAGCAACCTCAAACTCCTGGGCTCAAGCGATCCTCCTGCCTCACTCAGCCTCCAGAGTAGCTGGGACTATATGCATTGTGCCACCATGCCTGGCTAATTTTTTCTATATATTTTTAGTTGGCCAATTAATTTCTTTATATTTTTAGTAGAGACGGGGTCTCACTCTTGCTCAGGCTCGTTTTGAACTCCTGACCTTGAGCGATCCACCCACCTTGGCCTCCCAGAGGGCTAGGATTATCCGACCTCCTCAGTAACTGTTTGATACTGAATTGTGCTTATTCCCAGAAACAGAATTGTATTTCTATAAGCTTCTCACAGTTCTGTGAATCATCTTCTCTTGGTATTTATTCCAGGTGAGTGATCTGCTTATGGCATTAAAATTTATTTAGATGAAAGGTAAAATGTGTTTCTCTGTTTTTGAAATAATCTTAATTGAGAATCGATTATACCTCAAATAATAAAAACATAGGATGACTTTTATATTTTATCAGGTTGCAAAGCATTTTTGCATATCATTAGAGCCACAGTCTTCTTTTTATGTGGGCAGCCTAAATATTCTTATTCTCCCCATATTTAATATTTTCTTAAAAGAAAAGCCTTAAAATACATTAGGTTATGGGAATTTTTCTATAGATACATTGCTTGGCTGATAAGTGACAGACTAAAGTCGAATCCAGGTCCTCTTAACTTCTGACACTGGGATGAGTCTTTTTTAAAAGAAGCTAATTGTTGTATAAGTAGATTCTTTTTTTTTTTTGAGATAGAGTCTCACTTTGTTGCCCAGGCTAGAATGAGTGCCTTGGCATCAGCCTAGCTCACAGCAACCTCAAACTCCTGGACTCAAGCTATCCTCCTGCCTCAGCCTCCCGAGTAGGTGGGACTACAGGCATGCCCACCATGCCTGGCCAATTTTTTCTATATATATTAGTTGGCCAATTAATTTCTTTCTATTTATAGTAGAGATGGGGTCTCGCTCTTGTTCAGGCTGGTTTTGAACTCCTGACCTCGAGCAATCCGTCCACCTCAGCCTTCCAAAGAGCTAGGATTACAGGCGTGAGCCACCTTGCCCGGCCTAAGTAGATTCTTGATTCTTTTTTTTTTTCAGCATATTATGGGGGTACAAATGTTTAGGTTACGTATATTGCCTTTGCCCCCACCTGAGTCAGAGCATCAAGCATGTCCATCCCCCAGACGGTGCATACCGCACCCATTACATGTGTATATATTCATCCCTTCTTCCCCCCGTCCCATCTGCCTGACACCCAGTGGATGTTAATACTATTTATGCACTTAAGCGTTGATCAGTTAATTCCAATTTGATGGTGAATATATAGTAGTGCTTGTTTTTCCATTCTTAGGATACTTCACGTAGTAGAATGGGCCGAATCTTGATTCTAAAGCATCTTCTGGAGTTGAGGCCACCTGGAGTTAGCCAACCACCATGTTCTAGTTGCTAGCAACTGTGTGGTATAATGAAATGATCACTAGATTTCTCATTGGCCTGGGTTTAGAATCTGCCATAAATAAAATAGCAATAATTTGTTTATGTTCTACTTTGCAATATTTATTAAGAATTAGAAATGTTAGAAGCATAAAGTAGCATTTCTGTATAAGAGGCCGAATTACCTTTGGTTAAGTACATAGACTCTAGAACCAGATTGTCTAAGTTTAAACCCCGATTCTGCCACTCTGGCTGAGTGACTTGGATCACCTTACTTCACTTCGTTGCCTCAGTTTTATCATCTATAAAATGAGGGTGTGACATACTTGCTTCATAGGATTGCTACAAGCATCAGGTGAGTTGATACCATGGCAGTCCCTAAAATGTCATACACGATGATTAATTACCTTTTTGTTATGTTTATCTGTTTCCTTTGCACTAGTAATGAATTGAGAGGGACAATAGGAGCAAGAGGCAGTTGAACAGAATAAATGTAGGGAGAAAGAAAGAACAAGGAGCTAGAGAAAGTGATGAGGAAGTAGGGGATAATGGCCAGCCTCAGCCTGTAGGTCTTTGGCTATTGAGGTTCCTTTAGAAGCAAAGAACCATTTTGCTTCTAAAGGAGTCTGACTTTTATCTGTTAACAAGTCCAGGGCCAAAGGTGTTGTCTAAGCAGGCCCTTTCCTTTTAGAGACCTTCAGTCTCATGGAACAGCAAAACTATATACCAGGAACCTTTTTCAGTGTCTTACTTAGAGCTAAAAGTTTGCACTCTTGCTCTGGAATGAAGAGATTCTAACTCTGCGTTCACAATGGCTTGTGGGTTAAGCTATGGAGATGGTTTTGAGGGGTTTTTAAAATAAAAGGTCATCTAAAGTACTTGTTTGTCGTTCAGATTTCTCTATTTAGTTGCCCTTCACTGTTTTCTGTAATATTGTTGGCCAGCTTTATGTTTAGCAAGTTCCAGGAATACTGTTATAATGCTGACTATCTTCTATTTCTCTGTCCCTATAGATTTACTCAGAGCAGGATGAGAGTCTGATTAGCATGATGCTCAGCTGGGATTTGGTTCAAAATAGTTTAAACAATTTATTCCACCTAGAATGTTCTCCTCTCTCTTCTCTGCCTCTGCCTGCACGCCCTTCCTTCAGTGCCTCATTGTGCCCGTTTTAACATGCCTGGACACATTTAATTCTAGCACCTACAGTTCTTACACTTCTTTGTTGTTGTTGAGACAGAGTCTCACTCTGTTGCCTGGGCTAGAGTGCTGTGGCATCAGCCTAGCTCACAGCAACCTCAAACTCCTAGACTCAGGCAGTCCTCCTGCCTCAGCCTTCTGGGTAGCTGGGACTACTGGCACGCGCCACCATGCCCAGCTAATTTTTTTCTATTTTTAGTAGAGACGGGGTTTTGCTCTGTTTCAGGCTGGTCTTGAACTCCTGAGCTCAAGCAATCCTCCCACCTCTGCCTCCCAGAGTGCTCGGATTACAGGTGTGAGCCACCGCGCCTGGTCTTACACTTCTTTATGTAATTTAAATTTTATCATTTTACTGGCTTGTTCAATACTTGTGTGTGTGTGTATGTGTGTGCATGCACATACACACACATACATATTTTTTAAGCTCCATAACAAAGTTTTTAACTCCCATGGGTAAGTTCCTTACCTGCTGCCTTGGAGCTCGCCTCTGCCATCATATCAAGTACATTTTTATGCACATTACACCTGGGTGAATGTTGTAAACACAGTTATGATCTTCCACCATGCTCTAAAAATCCTTCTGTGGCTCCCATCAGTTACAAGATTGGATCATGCTCACAGACAGACTTCTCTAATAGGTTGATTCCTACAGGCTTAGCCCTTGCATATTGCTTTCTCTCTGTATAGAATACAAGCCTGTGCCTAGCTATTCCTGCCACTCTCTTCCTGATCTGGTATGTTCTGTCCATCTTTCAAAATGAATTGTGATCTGTAAATATTTATCACCAACAGAATATGATGATCCTGGCAAAAATTGATGAACTAGGGCAGTGACAGTGAGGGTACAGATTTGACATCAAGTTAGGAGATAGGGTTAACAAACTTTATCACTCTTCAGTATGGAGGAAATGTTCACTGAAGAGGTTGAAAATGTGTTGAGTTTTATGATTGATTGGAGCTTTTTAGGGGCTATAATGTAAGCAATTAGTGAGTATAATTGCTTTAGAAATAGCCAGTATCTGTTAAGCATTTACCTTTTGCAGGCATATGGCAGGTACTTTACATTCATTATTTCATTTATTCCTTGCAACAGCTTTATAAGGTAAAAATTATAAATGACATTTATAGATGACAAAACTGGGACTTAGTGAAAGTCTTTTAGAAACATCTTGACACCTTCTATATATACCTAAAGTGTGAAAATAATCGGGCCTAGGATCATAGAGCTCTATAGAATTTTATGATAATTAGAAAATTTATAATCTATTAAAAATATATAATAAATTATTAACTTGAAATTGATTGGCTTTAGATAGGGCATACCCTTAAATTGCCATAGGCCTGGCCGGGTTTGGTGGCTAACACCTGTAATCCTAGCACTCTGGGAGGCCGAGGCGGGCGAATTGCTTGAGGGCAGAAGTTCGAAACCAGCCCGAGCAAGAGCAAGACACCGTCTCTACTGTAAATAAAAAGAAATTAATTGGCCAACTAATATACATAGAAAAAATTGGCCAGGCATGGTGGCGCACGCCTGTAGTCCCAGCTACTTGGGAGGCTGAGGCAGGAGGATTGCTTGAGCCCAGCACTTTGAGGTTGCTGTGAGCTGGGCTGACGCCACGGCACTCACTCTAGCCTAGGCAACAAATCTAGACTCTTGTCTCAAAAAAAAAAAAAATTGCCATAGGCCTAATGACTCCCCATTGTCTTACACCTACTCAACCCACAGATTATTTTCTGGGCCTCCATCTATAACAAGTTTAACATCCTTATTCAAAGACTTTAAATTTAGAATCTCTTTCAAAAAATGTAAATGGGATTTTGCCTTAAAAAGAACATTAAGCCACTGACTGACATTTTTGTGCAGAATGTGGTACATATAATGCAAAATTTTACAAGGAAAACTTGGCAGGCATGTGTGGAACAGCTGCAGATGGGGACAGCCCTATAATTGTGGGCATCACCTGTGTATGCATGGGGAGTGGGGTGAAGCAGTGGGAAGGCGTGGGAGACACAGGCTGGGGGTCACAGGAGTAGCAGCATGATTGGGGGACTGAGGAGAAGGAAAGGATGCTTCCATAGTTTTGAAATAAGGAAATTGCCAAAAAGTGTAAAGTCTAAATATAGAGCTTCTTTGAAATAAAGATGAGTTTTGTTTTAGCTCTGTATCCATTAGCAACCCTTTTTTCTCTCACATTTTTTTTCCAACATGAAAAAGAGGAAAAAGGGTCTAGTCATGCACATGAACAGTTCTGTACCAGAGTAGTAAACATATGGGTCTCATTCCTTTGTATGGTTCGTTGTAACCATGAATTATGTGATTTCTTAAGCTATGTTCTTTGAATCTTGTGAGTTAATCAAAATGAACCTCTCAAAAGTCTTTTAGTCTGGTTCTATAGGGAAAAGAAAAACACTGATTTTCAAAAATGTATTAGTGGAGAAGACTAACTATATTATACAAATAGTCATGAGTATTTCTAGGAACTGACTTCCAGTATCCCAGACAGTATGAATTTGAAAAAAAACAAGAGATCACTAGTCTTGAGCCAAAATCATATAAGCAAAGAAAAAACAAGCAGCCACTCGGGACTTTGGAGTGACCACATGTTTTACGCCAGGATGTGTGGTGCATTAATGGAGCATACAACACTAGGAGTTCTGAGCCACAGCCTGGCGAGCAGAGCTCACACGCTCACATAGGACAGGGACCTAGGGATTTGGCTGGTTTATGCTGGACCTGATTTAGGCTCATGTGGACTGAGCCTGACCCTGTTGATGGCCATGGCAGGGCAGTTGTCAGTGAGAAAAAAATAGGGTTGAAAACACCTACTGGAATCTTACACCCCATTAAAAGGAAAACATGACTTTTGAGTTAACTAATTCCCTGGGCTAATCAAGGACCAACTTCCATTCCTTTGTGGATATTGCCTTCTTAACTGCCCACTTACTACTTTGTAAAAGGAAACTACAGTTTAGCCTTCTTAATTTGGAATGTTTCAAATTCCCTATTTTTTTTTTTTTTTTTTTTTGAGACAGAGTCTCACTTTGTTGCCTGGGCTAGAGTGCATGGCATCAGCCTTGCCCACCTCAAACTCTTGGGTCAAGTGATCCTCCTGCCTCCGCCTCCCGAGTAGCTCTACAGGCATGTACCATCATGCCCGGCTAATTTTTTATATATATGTTTTTAGTTGGCCAATTAATTTCTTTCTATTTATAGTAGAGACAGGGTCTCGCTTTTGCTCAGGCTGGTTTCAAACTCCTGACCTTGTGCGAGCCACCTGCCTCGGCCTCCCAGGGTGCTAGGATTACAGGCGTGAGCCACTGTGACCAGCCAAATTCCCTATTTCAATACAGTAAATATAATTCACTTTTTTTTTAAAACCTCTAGCAAGATTGACTCTTTTTTTGTTTGTTTGTTCTTTGTTTGTTTCTTTGGAGACAGAGTCTCCCTCTGTCACCTAGGCTGGAGTGCAGTGGTGTCAACATCATAGCTCACAGCAACCTCAAACTCCTGGACTCAAGTGATCCTCCTGCCCCAGCCTCTCAAGTAGCTGGGACTACTGGCCACCACATCCCACTGATTTTTCTATTTATTTGTTTATTTTTGTAGAGACAGTGGTCTCTCTATTGCTCAGGCTGGTCTCAAATTCCTGACCTCAAGCTATCCTCCTGCCTCAGCCTCCCAAAGTGCTAGGATTACAAGTGTGAGCCACCGTGCCTGGCCCAGATTGACTCTTTATGGTGTACAGTTATATGACTTATGACAATGCATTGAGTTGTGTGACCATCCCCAAAATAAAAAAACAGAATGATTCTATCACCCTCCAAAATTTTCTCAAGCTGCCTGTTTACAGTCAGCCCTATCCTCTGCTTCCAGCAATCACTGATCTGGTTTCTGTTTCTATGATTTTTGCCTTTTCCAGAATGTCTTATAAATGGAATCATATAGTATATAAGCTTTAGTTTGGTTTTGTTCACTTAACATAATTTAGACTCTAAAGGGAAATGTTTTGAAAATCTAGGAATCATGATCATCGTTTTAATTAGTAATGAGGAAATTTTCTCCTGTCTTTAGTACATTGAGAACCCATGGATCACAGTGTATTTGAAATCATTAAAGCTGGGTGTTTTTTAAAAAAGGGTCCCTAAAAGTACATAAATTTAAAAATTTACACTATATTTTATCAGTGTTATGACTTCTATGACTGAGTCTAGAACTTAGGAATCTTAATTTCTACTGAAAAATAGGAAAATTTATTTTTAAAAATAAAAGATCTAATTTTGAAAATTTTTATTGGGAGGAGGATGTTGTAATAATAATCTTTAGCTGTGAACCATGAAACATATCAATATATTGCTTCTGTGCCTCCTCCTACAAAAAAGACCTATGCTAAAACTAAAAAATTATACAGAGACAATATTAGTAGAAGTACTGCTTCGTTTACAGAAATGAAGAGTATAAAGCAGAGAAGTGCTCCTTGGGGCAAAAGGCAATTGGCAAAAGCTAAGGAACATTTTTATAATGAGTTTGTCAGAAATAAAGATCATCAGGCATATCCAGGAAGTGGTAGTGAATGCCAGGCAGGCTTAGAAGACAGGAAACACTTAGCATGTTGGCGAACCACTTTAGCACATCAGCAAAGGCATATGAGCAGTGTTAGGATTGGAGATTATTACCATGGGGAAAGACAATAGTTAGAGGAGCAATTTCAATTAAAGATATAAAGATTGTTCCTTTAAATTAATTCTTGAGTTGCTCCTCTGTGCCTTTGTAGTAGAATCTATAAGATAAATCACATAAAGGGGAGAGTATATGTTAAAAATAAACTCTGGAATTCTTAAAAAGGAAGACATTAAAAATGTGAAATTATGCTGGTAGGAATTTTTAAAAATAGAGAAAAAGAATCCACTCATCATTATGCACAGATTAAAGAAAATATTGGTAATGTGCATGGTATAGGCTAGTAGTTAAGAACCCAAATGCTACATGGATTGCTTCAGATCCTGGCTCTGCCATTTTCTGGCTATGTGACCTTGAGCCAGATTACTTAGCCTTTGCTTCAGTTTTCTCATCCAGAAACCTATTTGGTTTTCTAATCCATTAAAACCTATTTGGTTTTAATAGGATTCTTGTGTGGATTGGGTTAATAAGTAAAGAACTTAGAACAGACCTCCAAAATAATTAGTATTGTATGTGTTAGCTATTATTAATATATTCCAAATTCTCCTAAAGAAAATCTTCCCTAATTTGTATGTTCATGACTATCAAAAACAAAATGGAAAAAATCATATAAACAGTCCAGAAGGATTAAAAGCATTATGCAAAACACATGATCTTTCTGACGTAGTTTTTAATTTTAAAAGAAATTAGAACTAACTTCTTCTCCCTCGATTTTTACTTTTTAGAGTGGTGAAACCAGAACAATATCTCACTTTCATTATACTACCTGGCCAGATTTCGGAGTCCCCGAATCACCAGCTTCATTTCTCAATTTCTTGTTTAAAGTGAGAGAATCTGGCTCGTTGAACCCTGACCATGGGCCTGCAGTGATCCACTGTAGTGCAGGCATTGGGCGCTCTGGCACCTTCTCTCTGGTAGATACCTGTCTTGTTCTGGTAAGTGTTTCTCTTCTTATTATCTCATTTTAGTCTCATTGATTTTTTTTTTTTATTGTTTCCACTGGCAAGGAGTAGGCTCTGATGTCATATCCCAGAACTGGGTTCCTCAGACTTCTGCCTTCTTTTGGAGAAACCTAAAAATCTCTTTTCTACCCTTTCAACTGCCTCTTGTTCATGAGTGGTGGGGATGTGTCCAATCTGATTCTAGAGATCCCCAAGAAGACTTTTTTCTTCCTGGTGTCTTTGTATTACAGAAATAATAGACCCCCCCTCTTTTTTTTTTCAAATATAAAATTATATGTAATATTGAATTCATTCCTTAGACAAGCCACTTTATCTTTTTTTCTTATTTAAAAACTAGGGATAATGATAGATTTACCTCAGTGTTGCTGTGAGAATTCAACGAATTAATATATTTAGGACACATGGAAGAGTCCTTGGTGTTTTCTAAGCATTCCATAAATGTTAGTATCATTGTTATTCTCCTGAGATTCGGATCTCTGCCCCCACCCCCCGCGGCTGCTTCTTTCTCCACTGATACCCCCATACCCAGCCCAGAGACAGCCCAGGCCTTCTCTTCGCTTCTTAGGGCCTTTAATTTTCCTTACTTGGAAATGGGGGCTTCTGTTTGCTCTTATGCCCCTTCCAACTTCTGTCTTCTTTCTCCCTCCTTGTATTATATTATAGAATCAAACCCGTCAGTAATACCTTCTGCCTTGATTTCCATACCATCTACTCCTTCAGTATTCCCTGTAGTTTTACTTCTGCTTTCCTGAGCTTGTTTTAAGATTATCAGGCCGGGCGCTGTGGCTCACGCCTGTAATCCTAGCTCTTGGGAGGCCGAGGCGGGCGGATTGCTCAAGGTCAGGAGTTCAAAACCAGCCTGAGCAAGAGCGAGACCCCGTCTCTACTATAAATAGAAAGAAATTAATTGGCCAACTGATATATATATAAAAAAAATTAGCCGGGCATGGTGGCGCATGCCTGTAGTCCCAGCTACTCGGGAGGCTGAGGCAGCAGGATCGCTTGAGCCCAGAAGTCTGAGGTTGCTGTGAGCTAGGCTGACGCCACGGCACTCACTCTAGCCTGGGCAACAAAGCGAGACTCTGTCTCAAAAAAAAAAAAAAAAAAAAAAGATTATCAACAACCTGGGCAATTTAGTAGAGTGGTATCTTCAACCTTTACTTTAAGGCCTTGTGTTGTCCTGCCTTCCTCTGTTAGTCTCTTCTCTGTCCTGTAAAACTTAGCTATACTTCTTTGCACTTATCTCAGCATTCTCAAACTTTCTAACATGACTGCTAGCACAAAGTAGATTGTCAAATGAAGAAATATGATGTTATTCATTGCAAACACGTGTACTTTAACAGGAGCTTGATCATTGAAGTGGTCCTCTTGGTAGAACAGTTTGGATAGTGCATCTCTAGTGAAAGCTAGAAATTAGGAAACACTGAGTCTTAACACACTTACTGTATTACTTTGCTTATATACAGTATACTTGAATAAAAATGGGATTGTTACATTAAAGTGAACATTGTCCTGTTTAAAAACTCTGGTATCTATTTTGTTAATGATACCTGTTCCCTACCAACCATAACTTCAATAATTTTTTTCGTTTTCGGTTAAATTGTGGAAGGGAGGGGTGGAATTCTAATATCAGATCAATAGTCCAGAGCTGGTGTGGTAGCTCAGCAGTGTTATTGTGGATCTAGGCTTTTTCTGACTTTCTTTTCCACCATCTTTAGAGGGCAGACATCTAGACATCATGTCTATAGGGTAGACATAAAGAAGGCAGAAGGGCGATGGGCAAAAAGATTTACTCCTACCAAGATCATTGAAAATAAAAACTAATCCCAGCAAATTTACCCTTATATTAGCCGGAAGTGACCATAAATCCTTCCTTTGACCAATTACTAACCAAAATGAATGGGATTACTAGATTGGTTTGGAATCAATTGTGAATCAGCTAAAGAATCAAAAGCCCTTCATTTACTACTTGAGCAGGGGAGGATGGGTAGATTGAGATAGTTGTGTACACAACAGTTACAGCTGCAGTGTTTGATTATTCTTAAGGAGGAACAAATGTATAGCAAAAATTTTAGCAATGATCCTGTATTGCTTCTGTTTCCTGGACTCTAAAAACAAAAGGCTTGACTTACTTTTACTTTTCTTGCAGGTGGAAAAAGGAGAAGATATTAACATTAAGCAGGTGTTATTGAGTATGAGAAAATATCGAATGGGACTTATACAGACCCCAGATCAACTTAGATTCTCCTATATGGCTATAATAGAAGGAGCAAAGTATATAAAGGGAGATTCTAATATACAGGTAAACTTTTCTTGGGGAAGAATAATACTGGTTTGTTAAACACAGCATCAAATAACTGTACTCTACTTGAGCCCTTGTCTTCTCCCTTCTAAAAAGTATATTTGAATTAATGTGTGTTACTTAAAAAACCTAGTAGGAACAAGATTTCATTAAATAAATTGAATTTTTCATGTAAGGGGGGCTTAAGCATTTAATTATTAAAATAAACCAGAAAATTTAGGTACTTTTGCCCCATTAGATACTTAACATGGGATTATAGAATATTTAGTTTATATAATATTTCACTTTATATCAGTGAGTAACTTGAATGCTTATGTCAGATACAATGAAATACCAGTAAAATGTTATATTTTTCTGGTTGGTGGCTTTATTCTCATGAAGATACTTTTATTATTAGATATAAGTAGATACTATTACTTATTTTTTTAATACTAATATAGATAGTATAAATAGATAGGGTCTCTTTTCATTATGTTTCTCATATATGAACAAGTTTACCATGGGATGGTAATGAGTTAGTAAGTACTCCCTCTATTTCTACCCGCTGAAAGAGATTTTAGATGATTGTTATGTCTTCCTTAAATGTTTGGTAGAATTCACCAGCGAACTTGTTTGGGCTTGGTGCTTTTTGTTTTGGAAGGTTATTAATTAGTCTGTAAATAGGTACTTCAATCAAAAATGGGATTGTTTCATTAAAGTGAACATTGTCCTGTTTAAAAACTCTGGTATCTATTTTGTTAATGATACCTGTTCCCTACCAACCATAACATCAATAATTTTTTTCTTTTTCTGTTTGCGAACCGAATACATAAGCCTATTTAAATTGTTTCTTCCTGTGTGAATTTTGGCAAATTGTGTCTTTCAAGGAAGTGGTCCATTTCATCTAGGTTATCAAATTTAAGGGCATAGAGTTGTTAATAATATTCCTTTATTATTCTTTAATGTCCATGGGATCTGTAGTGATGGTCCCCTCTTTCATTTATGATATTGCTTATTCATGTCCTCTCTTTTTTTCTCCGTCTGGCTACAGATTCATTAATTTTATTGATCTTTTCAAAAAATAAACTTTTGGTTTCCTTCATTTTCTCTATTGATTTCCTGTTTTTTCTTATTCTTTATTTTCTTTTGCTTACTTTGTTTTTTTTTTTTTTTTTTTTTTTTTTTTTTTTTTTTGAGACAGAGTCTCACTTTGTTGTCCAGGCTAGAGTGAGTGCCGTGGCGTCAGCCTAGCTCACAGCAACCTCAAACTCCTGGGCTCAAGCGATCCTCCTGCCTCAGCCTCCCGAGTAGCTGGGACTACAGGCATGCGCCACCATGCCCGGCTAATTTTTTTTATATATATATCAGTTAGCCAATTAATTTCTTTCTATTTATAGTAGAGACGGGGTCTCGCTCTTGCTCAGGCTGGTTTCGAACTCCTGACCTTGAGCAATCCGCCCGCCTCGGCCTCCCAAGAGCTAGGATTACAGGCGTGAGCCACCGCGCCCGGCCGCTTACTTTGTTTTTAATTTGTTCTTTTTCTAGTTTCTTTAGGAGGAAAATTAGATTATTGATTTTAGATATTTCTTTTCCTTTTTGGGGGTGGGGAGGGTCTTGCTCTGTCTATCAGGCTAGAATGCAGTGGCATTATCATAGCTCACTGCAACCTTCAGCTCCTGGGCTCAGACGATCCTCCTCCCCTCAGCCTCCCATGTAGCTGGGTCCACAGGCGTGTACCACCTCAACCAACTAATTTTTCTATTCTCCTTTCTTCTCTCTCTCTCTCTTTTTTTTTTTTTTTTTTTTTTTTGTGGTAGAGATGAGGTCTGCTCAGGCAGGTCTCTAACTCCTGGGCTCAGTAATTCTCCCACCTCAGCCTCTTAAAGTGCTAGGATTACAGGCATGAGCCACTGTGCCCAGCCTAGGTATTTCTTTTCTAGTAATATGTATTAAAAGCTATAAATTTCCCTCTAAACCCTGCTTTTGCTGCATCCCACAACTTTTGATAAATTGTGTTTTCATTTTGATTTAAATTTGATTTAAATTTGAATTTTAAAACCAATATTTTAAAATTCCTCTTGAGATTTTTTCTTTGATCTATGTGCTGTTTAGAAGTGTGTTGTTTAATCTCAGTGTATTGAGATTTTTCCAGTTATCTCTCTGTTACTGATTTCCAGTTTAACTCCATTGTGGTCTGGGAACACATACGCATATACATCTACATAGATGCATCTATAGATACTATGTATACATCTACACAGATCTCAGTTATATCCATTTGATTGATGGTGTTGTTGAGTTTAACTGTCCCTACTGATTTTCTGCCTCCGGGATCTGTCTATTTCTGATAGAGAAATGTTGAAGTCTCCTATGAAAATAGATTGAAACTATGAAAATAGATTCTTCTATTTCTCCTTGCAGTTCTGTCTGTTTTTGACTCACGTAGTTTGTGGCTCTGTTGTTAGGTACATACATGTTAAGGATTTTTGCGTCTTAGAGAATCAACCTGTTTGTCATTATGTAATGCTCTTTTTCTCTGATAACTTTTCTTAAAGTCTGTGCTGTATGAAATTAATATAGCTACTCTTGCTTTCTTTTGATAAGTGTCAGCATGGTATATTTTTTAGTCTATATGTGTTGTTAAATGGGTTTCTTATCTGCTTTGAGAATCTTTTTTTATTGTTGTGCATTTAGACCATTGACACTCAAAGTGATTACTGATAATGTTAGACCAATATTTACTATGTTTGTTGTTGTCTTTGCTCTCTGTTTCTGTTTTGTATTCTGCTCATTTGTCCCTTTTATGGTTTTAGTTAAGCATTTTATATGATTCCATTTGTCTCCTTTCTAAGGGGAACTGTCTTCCTGCTCAGTAGTACTCAACCCATGTAATTCTTCCTCATCTCCGGCCCTTTTTCCTAAAAGGGACATCTGCCTTCACCCTCAGTCTTATTTTAGATTTATATGATGTCAGTGGTATTTTCAATATTAGATACAGTTATATGTTAGTTTTTCTGTGAAGATTTCTTGCACATATGTATAAAAAGTGATTTAGGCCCAATAGGGACAAAGGGGAGCTATTAATATTACATATCTACAATGATTACATTTTAAGTCTGTAAATACATATATGTGATTATATTCATATAGCATATATTCATTTACTGAACACTTCCAATGGCCTTGACCTTCCTAGATAAATATAGATAATTTGTAGTTGCCTCTACGCACAAGGTCAGACATAAATACATAAAGTAATTGCTGGTATTACCACATATTTATTAATAACCCCCAGTATCAATGACGACAGTAAACCTCCCAGAATAAATATCTAGTTTGGTAATTCAGACCTGATGTTGTAAAATCTCTAGCTAATAGTTTGATACTACTAATAAAGTATTAAATGTAAATTATTTAACAAATTATAGAGAATTTCAAGTTTTTTTTGTTTTTGTTTTTTTTTTGAGACAGAGTCTCACTTTGTTGCCCAGGCTAGAGTGAGTGCCGTGGTATCAGCCTAGCTCACAGCAACCTCAAACTCCTGGCTCAAGCAATCCTCCTGCCTCAGCCTCCCAAGTAGCTGGGACTACAGGCATGCGCCACCATGCCCGGCTAATTTTTTGTGTATATATTAGTTGGCCAATTAATTTCTTTCTATTTATAGTAGAGACAGGGTCTTGCTCTTGCTCAGGCTGGTTTCGAACTCCTGACCTCGAGCAATCCGCCCGCCTTGGCCTCCCAGAGAGCTAGGATTACAGGCGTGAGCCACCCACCCGGCCGAGAATTTCAAGTTTAATTATATCACTTTACTGCTTTCTTCAGTGAATAGAAATGGGTGAGGTTAGGGTTTCAGGCAGCGTGTGGAACATTGTTCCTAGTAGCATGTGCTACATGGGGTGTGATTCACCATGAGTATAGAGTTAGAAAGAGAGATGAAACTGTACCAGGCCTCAAAACAAGAGCTCGTGATATTGTAGTTACTGGGATGTAATCTTTGGCTTCTACCAGTCTGCAGTGACAGGCGGAGGCAGGTGACTGGTGAGTGCCTGCTCACTTGTGTGTTACAGAGGGCAAAAATGAATGAGTTTGCTGAACATAGACATGGCAAGATGATAGTCGTCTTGTTTTGTATTTTGTTTTGTTTTAATTCACTAGCATTAAATATGTCTTTTTTCCTCTTTGCTGAGTACTTTTTTCTTATTGGCATATTCTGAACTTGTTGCATATTCTGGGAAGTGGTCTAAAATAGTCATCCCAGACTGTCTGGATTAAAATTCTGGTCTTAACTATTTATTAACTGCATATCCTTGGGCAAGTCATCTTAACTTTTTGCACCCATATCCTCTGTAGTATTAGTACCTCTCTCCTAAGATTATCATGAGGATTAAGAGCTAGTACATTTGAAGTGTCAGAACATAGCATAGGGTGTCGAAAGTGCTCCACAATGTGTTTGCTATAAAATCTATTTGGACCAAGTAACAGAAATTTAACAAGGGAAGAAAGAAAAATTGACACAGTCATCTAAAGTGAGAACATCTTATCTTCTATTATATAGTAGTTTAACTATTGGCACAGTCTTCTTCCTGGACATGGTATGAGCCCTCTTAGGGCTCAGGATTGTTCAGTTCCACCTCACTGCTTCTCCCTAAGTCCAGAGACTCCTTTCCTTGAGGTATCCTTCCTTCGTAGCTTCATCTCTCCTGCTCAAGCACTGCATGTTTTCCATCCTCCAGTCACATTGTATCAAACTGTACTACTCACTATCCTTCAAATACAATAGATTATAGAATTTCTCATTCTCTAATTCTTTTGTATATAAACTATTATAAAACAAAAAGATACCTTAATTATGTGACTAATTTAAATAGCCGTATCTGGGAAAGGCTGAGTGTGGGTAAAATGCCATTTACTTTTTAATTTCTCTGTTGTATAATGATAATGAGACACATTAGAAACTAGTTTATCTGGTGTATGGATTTCCCAAGGTGTTTTAGAATCTAAATATATAAGCACTTCTTTTTAAAGTACCATTTTGCACAAAAGTATCTGGGAATGATTATTTCCTAAGGCCCAGAAAAGTGTAAGTTGCAGTGTTATATCTCTGTGGAAAATCATTAAATTCCTCAGGCAACAAGTAGTGTGTTCCTTATTAATGAGATCCAAGACTCCTTGCTTTCATGATAGTAATTTCAAAGGGGCCACCACTGTCCATGTAAGTCATTTGGGCCAGTGTCAGAATCACAGGTAATCAAAACCATTGGCTCAACCACTGGCTTCCACTGCTGCTACCTCTACCACTGTTGTTTTTGACAGGTGGATAGAAGGTGGTTGTGTTCCTGACTCTTGAAGGACTTTAGAGAGCATAGTCCCACGTGTGTAAGTTATACACACCTTTTCCTTCTCTGGCCTGTGCAGTTGTCATGCTTTCATCTCCAGGGGCTCAGATATACTTTGTACCTCTTCTTCCTCTACCCTTGTCCCTAGGAATGGTGGCAGTGAGGGCATGGGAAACTTAATATTTGCCAAACATGATGCTAGGCTCTTCACGTGCCATCTCATTCATCACCACAACAGTCTCTCAAGGTAGGTTATAATGTCCTTTTTGATAGAACAAATGGAAATTTCTTTTCATCTTCGTCTGAATTCTGCTTTTAATTGTCATCTACTCTCAAGTCCAGGCATGCTAGAGGACATTTCCTTAGCTCACTGGGAGGCTAGCTACCTGGAGCTGCAAGTGCTCCTGGTAGGTACAACCAAATTAAAGTCCTCTGGTATCGTAAGTGTCTGCTTGGGGATGTCACAGTTGGTTCTCCCTTAGACCAGGAAAGTACCAGATGACATGCAAGTGCCATCTAGGTCACTGTTCCAGTGTTGCATAACCAGTGGATTAGGACTGGATTAAGAGGCAAACAAAATTTAACTTTAGCTAAAATCTTATCTTTTTTGGCTTATTTTTACTTTTTTATTGATTTTATTGATTTTGTTTTTAATTGACACATAATCGTACATATTTATGGGGTACGGTGCAATGTTTTGATACATATATAGTGATCAAATCTAGCCATTTAGCATATCAGTCACCTCATATGTCCATCATTTCTTTGTTGTGAGAACATTCAAAATTGTCTCTTTTAGCTATTTTTAAATATAAAATAAAATATTGTTAACCATAGTCATTCTGCTGTGCAATAGAACACCAAATTTATTCCTCTACAGTTAGATAACTGTAACTTTTTGTATCTGTTGACTAGAATCCCCCAATTCCTGCTTCTCTGTACCTTCCCCAGCCTCCAGTAACTACTATTCTACTCTCTACTTCTGAGATTAACTTTTTAAGATTCCATATATGAGTGAGATCATGCAGTATTTGTCATTCTGTATATGACTTATTTCACTTAACATAATGTCCTCCAGGTTCATCCTTTTTGCTGCAATTGATAGAATTTCATTATTTTTTATGGTTGAATAGTATTCCATTTTGTATACATACCACATTTTCTTTTTCTCTTTATTCATTGCTGAATACTTAAGTTGATTTAATGTCTTTGCTGTAGTGAGTAGTGCTGCAATAAACAGGGGAATGCAGATTTCTCTTCAACAAATTAATTTTATTTCCTTTGGATAAATCCCCAGAAGTAGGATTTCTGGGTCATATGATAGTTCTATTGTTAATTTTTTTAGTAACTTCCATATTGTTTTCCATAATGGCTATACTAACTTACATTCCCACTAAATGTGTAAGAATTCACCTTTCTCCACATCCACAGCAGCATTTGTTATTGTCTTTTTGATAGTAGCCATTCTAATTGGGGTAAGGTGAATATCACATTGTGGTTTTGATTTGCATTATTCTGATGATTGGTGATGTGCATTTTTTCATATACCTATTGGCTGTTTGTATATTTTCTTTCAAGAATGACTGTTCAGTACTTTTGCCCGTTTTTAAATTGTATTATTTGGGTTTTTTGATACTGAATTCTTTGAGTTCCTTATATATTCTAGATATTAACTCCTTGTCAGATGCAAATATTTTCTCCCATTCAGTAGGTTGTCTTTTCACTCTGTTGATTGTTTCTTTTGTTGGGCAGAAGCTTTTTAGTTTGATATAATCCCATTTGTCTATTTTTGTTTTTCTTGCCTGTGCTATTGAGGTCTTGTCCGAAAAATCCTTGTTTAGACCAATGTTTTGAAATGTTTCCTCTGTCTTCTTATAGTACTTTTATAGTTTCAGGTCTTAGTTTAGGTCCTTGGTTCATTTTGAGTTGTTTTTTTCTATAGGGTGAGAGGTGCAAGTCTAGTGTCATTCTTCTAGTGTGGATATCCAGCACCATTTATTGAAGAGACTGTTTTTTTCCCAATTTACATTCTTGGTGCCTCTGTCAAAAATCAGGTGGCTTTATTCCTTTTTATCCCTTATTTCTTTCTCTTGCCTAATTGCTCTGGGTAGGACTTCCGGTATTATGTTGAATAAAATTGGCAAAAATGGACATCTTGGTTATTCTTTTTTTTTTTTTTATAACAAGTAACTGCTGGTCTATTTTTTTTATTTTTATTTATTTTTTTTTTAATTTTTTTTTCTTGGTTATTCTTGTTTTTCTAATTTCTTGAGGTGCAATATTAGGTTATTTGACATCTTTTTACTTTTTTTTTTTTTCTGAGACAGAGTCTCACTGTTGTCCCAGCTAGAGTGCCGTGGCATCAGCCTAGCTCACAGCAACCTCAAACTCCTAGGCTCAAGTGATCCTTCTGCCTTAGCCTCCCGAGTAGCTGGGATCATAGGCATGTACCACCATGCCCAGCAATTTTTTTCTATATATTTTTAGTTGTCTGGCTAATTTCTTTCTATTTTTAGTATTTCACTCTTGCTCAGACTTGTCTCAAACTCCTGACCTTGAGCAATCCTCCCGCCTCAGCCTCCCAGAGTGCTAGGACTATAGGCGTGAGCCACCACACCCAGCCTCTATGTGTATTTTTAGTTGGCCAATTAATTTCTTTCTATTTTTAGTAGAGATGGGGTCTCACTCTTGCTCAGGCTGGTTTCAAACTCCTGACCTTGAGGGATCCACCCTCCTTGGCCTCCCAGAGTGTTAGGATTACAGGCCTGAGCCACCCTGCCTGGCCTGTTCTGCTTGTTTTATATATTCTTTGTTCATTTTTTCATCTCCTGTTGTTTACTTTTGTGGTTTAGTGATTTTCTGTAGTGACAGCTTTGATTTCTTTCTCTGTCTTATTTGTATATCTGCTGTAATTTTTTTTTCTTTGTGATTACTATGTGGCTTACATTAAAAAATCTTACAGATTAATAATAGAGTATTTTAAACTGATAATAACTTAACTTTGGTCTTATACAGATATTCTAGACTTTTATGCTACCCATACAATTTATAATTTTCTTACTTAATTCACATCTTCTTATATTGTGTGTTCCTTAACAACTTATTGTGGCTATATTTATTACTGGCCGTTTTGATTTTTAACCATCATACTAGAGATTTGAAAGATTATCCCACCAGTACAGTAATGGAGTTTACAGAATTTGATAGTGTATTTACCTCTACCAGTGAAGTTACCCTTTCATTGTTTTCATGATAGTGATCATTGTCCTTTTGCTTCCAGTTGAAGCAGCTCTCTTAATTATTTCTTGTAAGGCCAGTCTCGTGATAAATTCTTGCAGCTTTTGCTAGTCTGGGAAAGACTTTATTCCTTTTTCATTTCTGAAGGAAAGCTTTTCTGGTAGTTTTTTTTTTTTTTTCTTTCAGCACTTTGAATATATCATCCCATTCTTTCCTGGCCTGCAAGGTTTCTGCTAAGAAATTTGCTGATAGAAATGTGCTGGGGATTCCCTTATAGGTGACTTTTGACACTTTTCACTTGCTGCTTTTAGAAATCTCTCTTTGTCTTTGACAGTTGAGTTAAAGTGTGCCTGGGAGAGAATGTCTTTGGATTGAATCTGTTTGGGGTCATTGAGCTCCATGGATCTGGATGCATGTGTTAAAGTCTTAACTCCGTGACTAAGAGTGTTTGCGTTTGTCTGTCATTTCTCTTCCCTACTTAGAAACGGTGGAAAGAACTATCTAAGGAAGATTTATCTCCTGCTTTTGATCATTTACCAAACAAAATAATGACTGAAAAATACAATGGAAACAGAATAGGTCTAGAAGAAGAAAAACTAACAGGTGACCGATGCACAGGACTTTCCTCTAAAATGCAAGATACTATGGAAGAGAACAGTGAGAGGTAAGCTTTCTGCAGTTACATGCTCAAAAAGATGAGGCTTTTTTATTTTAATAAATTCAGTGGATGTGAAGTGATATAAGCTGTCTGTTTATTGAATTAATATAATCTTTTATTTATTACCTAAGGGTGTTCAGGTAGCATCTGATGACATAATTGTTTTCAAGGAGCTTTCAGTCCTATTAAAAAGCCAATACTTAGAAACTAGTTGAAAAACTGTTTAAAACAATACTAATTGAGTGTAAAAATTAATGTACTTAGGTGCTAAAATATATATTGATAATATGGTACAGACAGTAAATGGAGTAAATACCTTCCATTTGTATAATCATAGAATATATTATTGTAATAATATGCTTTTAATGAATTTATAAAATATTTAAACCTAATTCCATTGTTGGAGGAAGAAAAGGATGTCTTTTCCTCTAAAATTACATAAAATACCCTTTCATACTTTTGTGATTTTTGAGCCCACATGAATGTATAAACTATTCAAAATCTTAAATTAAAACTATATTTCTAGGCCAGGCGCAGTGGCTCACACCTGTAATCCTAGCACTCTGGGAGGCCGAGGCGGGCGGATTGCTTGAGGTCAGGAGTTTAAAACCCGCCTGAGCAAGAGCGAGACCCCGTCTCTACTATAAATAGAAAGAAATTAATTGGCTAACTAATATATAGAGGAAAAAAATTAGCCAGGCATGGTGGCACGTGCCTGTAGTCCCAGCTACTTGGGAGGCTGAGGCAGGAGGATTGCTTGAGTCCCAGAGATTGAGGTTGCTGTGAGCTAGGCTGACCCCATGGCACTCACTCTAGCCTGGGCAACAAAGTGAGACTCTGTCTCAAAAAAATAAAAAAAATAAAATTCTAAAGCTCTACTTATCTCACACATGGTAGGAAGCTGGTATCTGGTATAAGTCACTTAGCAAAGTGAATAAGCTCATTTTATTTCTCTTGAATTGCCAAGTGACTTTTTTTTTCTTTTTGTCAAATATACTTTTTATTGTAGGGAATTTTATGTTGTCATATTTGTTAGGGTCTTAGCGTATACCCTGGAAAAAAGTCAAGGTCTGCCATATAGCTTCATTTCTGTATTTTCCTGATATAAAGATCACATATTTGAAATGTTGTAAAAGCCTATATAATATATAGTACACATGTTGTTATATATTATATTAGAAGAATTTATTATGATTTAGCAATGTTATTCCTAATTTATGGCGTCAGTAATGTTTTAGACTACAAATGAAAGCATAAAGTTGTTTATTTGTTCGTTTTTCCTCCTTAAATATAATACTTTTAAATAAGGAAATAATATTATTTTAAATTACCTTATCTTTTTTAGTCATGGGATTTTCAGATTTCTAGTATTGGGGTTTTTTTTCCTTTTGACTAGTACTGTCTGTGAAATTAAATTAACAATAGGTTTAATGACTGAATTGATCTTCTTAATATTTCAAAAATATTGAGTTTTAATCTTTAAAGACACAGACCAACAATATTAACAGTTCCAATGAGTTAAATTACTCATTGTCCAAGTTTGGCAATATAGATGCTATTAACAAAACCACTCAGGAGTTAGAGAGTGATTGCAAAAGATTGTTTTATAAGTTGTGTGTAAGTATACACATACCTGTACATATGTTCACATATGTCGTTTTCTTCTTTCTTTTTTTTAATTTCCGTGCAAAATAGATGAGACTGTTTGAAAACAGAAGGAGGGTCTCAACAGAAAAGTCAGGATGCTAAGCACAGAACCCATGACTAGGCGAGGAAGATGATAGAGATGGAAAAGCAGGTGGAGGTTGGGGGGGGGGTTAGGGTAAGGAACATGGCTGAAAGTTGCCTTTAACAGTCGTATGCGCGGTGGCTCACGCCTATAATCCTAGCACTCTGGAAGGCTGAGGCAGGTGGATTGCTCAAGGTCAGGGGTTCGAAACCAGCCTGAGCGAGAGCGAGACCCCCATCTCTACTATAAATAGAAAGAAATTAATTGGCCAACTAATATATATAGAAAAAATTAGCAGGACCACAGGCATGCCTGTAGTGGTGCATGCCTGTAGTCCCAGCTACTCGGGAGGCTGAGGCAGCAGGATTGCTTGAGCCCCGGAGTTTGAGGTTGCTGTGAGCTAGGCTGACGCCACGGCACTCACTCTAGCCTGGACAACAAAGTGTCTCAAAAAAATAAATAAATAAATAACAATTGTATTACTCAGTTCCAGTAAATTTGAATACTGATAGATAAGTTCGCATTAGAGATCCTAATAAAATAATCTTATCAAAATAATTTCAGCTGTCAAAAGAATAAAATACAATACCTTCTTTTTCTTCATTTTCATTATTGAATATCCTCCAAAGCAGTGGTCTTCATATTGGAGGTCAAATCCCATAGTCATGAAATCAGTTGATTGTGTTGTAAACATTTTTAAGTGTCATAAATAGTAACCATGAATATTTTAATCTTTTCTGGATATGTACATGTCATCTATAAATTCTATATTTTACATATACATGTATATTATATACATATGTAAATATGTGTGTATATGGTTACTCTGTTGAGGCAGTAAGATATTTCTTACTGTAGGTTGCAGTCTGTTTGAAAGTGGTATTCTTAATTATAGTGTACCCCAGAAACCCAGATCACTGAGAGTGGAGAACAGTTTGGACATATGAAGGGTGTGATTATTCAGACCCTTCTTCTGTATATTTATGTAGTATAAAGTAAGCCTGCCACAGCATGTATTGGCAGTAGTCTGCTATGTGTGCTACCATGAGTAATTCCACATGCTCTTCCATGGGCAGCCATCACTGGAGATATTCCTTCTTGCTTAATGACCTAAATTGTACAAATATAGGAGAAAACTTGGCCAGGTCCCACTCGCCGGGTTATTACATGGAAATAATTCCTTAGGTCCAGCACAGTAAAAAAAAAAAAAGTTGCCGGGCATGGTGGCTCACGCCTGTAATCCTAGCTCTTGGGAGGCCGAGGCGGGCGGATTGCTCAAGGTCAGGAGTTCAAAACCAGCCTGAGCAAGAGCGAGACCCCGTCTCTACTATAAATAGAAAGAAATTAATTGGCCAACTGATATATATATAAAAAATTAGCCGGGCATGGTGGCGCATGCCTATAGCCCCAGCTACTCGGGAGGCTGAGGCAGAAGGATCGCTTGAGCCCAGGAGTTTGAGGTTGCTGTGAGCTAGGCTGACACCACGGCACTCACTCTAGCCTGGACAACAAAGAAAAAAAAAAAAAAAAAAAAGTTGTATTATATCACAAATTGAGAGTAGTCCATCCTTCTCTGGAATTGTGGTTCTTGAACTAAAATGAAGGCATGTCTTGGTATTTGTATCTAGTCCATTCCTGAATTATATAGTACATTTATGGAAAGCAAGAACCTGTATTCTGTCATTTTAAATGAGAAAAACTGCGTGTCCCCAGCCCAACCAAAAGATATAACCAATTTATTCCCAAATACAATAAAAACCCTTTTAAACTCGTAGCATTTAAAGTACTAATTATATAATCATATAATACTTAATGAACTCATTATTGGGCTTATATGATAAATCACAGTAGTGTAAAATACGACATAGAGATTACAATTTCCTTCTGCACTGCAGTGAAAATAAAAAATGAATTAATATGTTAAAGCTTTTATCTGAATTGGAGCCTTGTTGCTGATGTCCCCAGGCTCCTGTCCAAAGCATATTCAGGGACCCATTGAAGGCTAACCCCCTCTGTACTTTTATGTATTTTACATATGCTTTTTCTGTACTTGAACACACTTGAATATCTTCGCTAGCAGGTATGTGCATGTTTGTCATAGTGAATTTTCAGCTCAAGAGAGTAATACTTTTTGTAGGTCATTATAGCAAATATTTAGAGTTCAGACAGCCAGGGATATGTGTATATATGTTAAGTAAAAGTGAAAAAGACGTAAGAAAGCACATAGGACTCACAAAGATAAGCAAAACATAGTCCTCCAGTTGGTAATGTATTATGAGGATAAAACAAGTAACCAAATTAACAAATTATTAGTAAATTATAAGTTACTTACTACAAATTAAATGCTGTAAGATAAAAATGGAAGGAAGGGCTATTGGGGATGGAATGAGGGAGAATTGAAGAGTAGAATTGAAATGAGACACCAGAGAGAAGAGAAGGTTCCTGTTTTAGTGGGGAACAAATTTGGAGAACAGCAAAAAAGCGTTTGGACAACAACAAAGTTATTCATAGCAGGAGAATATTGGCAAGAGTTTGCGTGAACATATGTTTTCAGTTCTCTTGGGTACTAGTTTAGCAGTGGAATTACTGGGTAATGTGGTAACTCTGTGATTAACATTTTGAGGAGCTGTCAAGCAGTTTTCTACAGCAGCTGCACCATTTTACATTTCCACCAGCAATCTCTGAAGGTTCCATTATACCAACAAAATGTAACATTGATAAAATAAAATATTCTGATATGGTCCATATTCACATTTCTCTAGTTGTCTAAAAAGTCCACCTTATAGCTTTTTTAATAAACAGCTTTTGGGGAATATAATTTACATACCATGAAGTTCACTCATCAAAAGCATACAATTCAATAAACTTTAATATATTTACAGAGTTGTCTTACCAACACCACAGTCTTAATTTTCATGATCCTAGCTCTGTTTAAAAGAAATACTTCAGGATCTAATCAAAGACCATACATTATGTTAGGTTGATTTGAGTCTTTGGTCTCCTTTAATCTGGAACCATCTCCCCCCTTTTTCCCTCCATGCTTGACATTTGTATTTTTGAAGCTTCTAGACCAGTTGTCTTTTGGAATACGCCACCATCTGGATTTAATCATTGTTTCTCATAGTTAGATTCAGGTTAAACATTTCAGCCAGGAAAAAAGTTCTCTTTTTTTCTCTTCATGTAGGATAGGCATTGAAGAAGCATTCAAGATTTTTAATCAAGCTACAAGTTCAGAGCTACACTTCAGAAAATTTACCATGGCAATAATGTTTAATCTGAGGGCAGATAAGCTGGTTAGGGTGTAATACAGATTATAAATGAAAAGAGGAGATGAATTTTGTGAATTTTTTTTAAATAGTAACTTATATATTGCCATTGACCATTATCTTTTGTTTTAAGAGATGGGTTCTTACTATATTGCCCAAGCTGGACTTGAGTTCCTGGGCTCAAGTGATCCTCCTACCTAAGGCTCCTGCCATCCTCCTGGGTGGCAATTATTCTTTATGTAGTACTAGGACCAGGTATCTTAGGAGTCATAGAACTGCCATTGACATTAAAATCCTGTACCAAAGAGGACATAGAAATATGTGTGGGCAAACAGGAGAATAGGCACTCCCACAGCAGAATATTCATGGAAATATTAAATAGATAGCTCTATCAGGGGCCTTTGTGAAACAGCAAATGTGAGCTTGAAAGGAGATCACATGGCAAGGGGACCCCTTTGTCCTCCCACCCCTGCTTCTGCTCGCTCGTTAGCACAGAAGGACAGAAAACTAAGTCATCAGTTCACGTTTTAAGAAAGAAGGTACCTTATTTTCAAATTATTATTTTCAGGTCCTACTACAAGTGTTTATTAACATAAAACTACCAGAAATGATTGCCAGAGTACATCTATGAACCATTTAGAATATTGAGGCCTTTCTCCTTTTTTATTCCAGTTTTTGAGATTAAAAAAAGTATGTAGATATGTGTGGTTTTATTTGCATTTTGGTCCTCTGTACTAGAGTAATTAAATCATTTTGGATGTGCATTTCCTTTTATTTGTCTTTATTTATTCATAGTGTTCTACGGAAACGTATTCGAGAGGACAGAAAAGCTACCACAGCTCAGAAGGTGCAGCAGATGAAACAGAGGCTAAATGAGACTGAACGAAAAAGAAAAAGGTGGTTATATTGGCAACCTATTCTCACTAAGATGGGGTTTGTGTCAGTCATTTTGGTTGGCGCTTTTGTTGGCTGGACACTATTTTTTCAGCAAAATGTCCTATAAATAAACAATTAATTTTGCTCAGCAAGCTTCTGCACTAGTAGCTAACAGTGCTACATTAATCATAAGGGTTTGTCTGTTCGCAGCAAATGCCTCATATCCCATAAATGGTGCAGTAGAATAGACATCAGCCAGATCAGTGGTATTCACAGTCAGAAGCCCAGCATCTCAGGACTCTCTTACTGCAGGTTCCTCTGAAACCCAAAGTGTAAACAGCGTCTAAAATAAAGGCATTCATGTTTGTAAAAACTGGTACATTTTGCAACTGTATTCATACATGTCAAAAGTAGTATTTCGCCTGACCAATGTTGAGAAATCCTTTATCCTAGGATTTATTTTGGGAGGCTATCTGGATTTTAACCTGCAGTTGATATAAGCAATAAATATTGTGGTTTTATCTACATTAATAATGGAAAGAAAATGACAAATGTGTGTAATGTATAATGTTCTGTTGACATGGGCAGCAACACTTTATATTCTTAACCATTTCAGGGTAGATATATTTTACAAGTATTTAATCTTAATTTTGTAGTTAACTGTACTTTTTGAAAGCTCAATTTGAAAAATCTGTTACCATAAAAAAATAAATTGTATGTTGATTCAATTGTACTGGATACATTTTCCATTTTTCTGAAGAGAAGTTTGATATGAGCAGTTAAAACTATGAATAAGCAATTTCTACTATATATTTACGTTTCTTTTGTTTTGCAGTTTTTCCCATTTTAAAAAGAAAAATAAAAAAAATTTTTTCCTAAAAATATCTTTGAAGGAAAGCTCTCCTTACTGGGATAGTCAGGTAACAGTTGGTCAAGGCTTTGTAAAGAAATTGGTTTTTGTAAAGCCCATTACTAATAATGTTTACTTTTCATGAAAATTTCAATGTAATTACCCTAATTTATAATTGGGATAAGTCATGATTTAGGAAGTAAAAGAAATAGCATTTTATGATCCACAGTTTCAGTTTACTAGACTGAAGCTTTGAAGTAAAATTTTTTTTAAAGTTCTTTCTACTTCAATAAATAGTATGATGATGTGCAAACCTTACATTGTCATTTTAACTTTTTAATGAGTATTTTCAAAGCATAATGTTTAATGAATTTAACTGCTCATTTGAGTACTTTCTCCAGATCCCAACATTGCATTCAATGTTTAGCTTGTTTTATTTGAAATAGTTGTTATAAATTTAATTGCTAGGAGGCATAGATAGTAAACATTATTTCAGTGGTTTTCAAACTATGCTCATTGGATTTCCAGGGGAGTCACCAAGAGGTTACTTCCAACCACAGCATCTCATCTCTTTTTATATGCCACATAAGATTTCTGCATAGACTTAATTATTTTAAAGGGGGCAATTATAATTTAAAAACAGTTTGAAAACCATTGGTATAGATATATACTTCTAATTGATTTGAGTAGCCTTCTTGAACTTGTTAAATTATACTGCAAGTATGAAAGCAGGATGTAGGTGGTACAACATATTAAATAAGATTTATATAACATGTGCCTGTGTCCTAGTTCAGTATTACTGTGTCCTGTAGCCTTGAAATGGAGAGAAGGTAAGAGGGGCATTTCATATATCTGTCTGCATTAAACCTGTGTGGAGGCATCAAGACCCTAACATTGTAGGCTATTATTGGCTTAAAGTCTTTCTTCCCAGTTTGCATTGGTTTATCTTTGCTGAAAGACAACATGTTCCTCTGCAAGTCAGATATGGGTAGGACTTATTAAACTTCCAGTTGAAGATAGCCTTGCTTTAAACTTAAGGAAACATGCTAATAAGAATGCACCCTCACCCCTTTGCTAAGTGAACGTGCTTCATTGGATTTGACATTTCAGCTTTGCTTTTTGTCTGTTTTTTTGTGCTTCTGGGTGGTGTTTGGTGTGATACATTTTTAAAATCACATTCAGTATAGTGAACATGTTGGCCTACTTCTTCCAAGGTTAGTCATCTTTCCTTCTCCAAGCAGATCCTTGAGAATGGTGTTGACAGTGGAAACTATAAATGGTATTCGGTTTTTACCAGCAGTAATAATTTTGGTGGGTGCCATGTACTAATTATTGAAAAGACATGGCAGCATGTTATACATAATATTTTCTGATTTTAACACATTTTAGAAGTCAGATGTGTAGTTTGACTTCAATGAGGGAGTGTTACTTTTTGAATAGCTTAAGGAACATCAAAGATTTTTTTTAAAACTGGCTTTATTATTTTCAGGAAAGAATCTTTAGTTCATTTCCATTCATGTCTGTGCCTGCTAATAAATTGACAATAACCTTCAGTTTAATGCATGTTTTCTCACTCCACCAACTGGTTATGTGCCCCTTTCCAAGTTCAGCCAAGTATTTTATGTTACCCTACTAGTGATTTTTATCTATACTTGTACATATATAAAATGTAAAAATATAATTCTCCATGTTTAATTTCTCCATATAAAAAATGAAAATCAGACCCATTTTCTGCATTGTTAATGGTTTTAAAGTAATATCTAATAAGTATAAAGAGGACTTTAGAACACTTTATAGAGGACTTTATAAAGACCATTTCTCATGTTCAGAGGAAATTTTATATATTTGACAAGTTTTCTACCTCTCGGTCCCTTTTCTCTTCTAGCTTTTTGGTCGATTTCACTATGTTTTAATATTTCTACCTAGGAATGAACAAGAAAAGAGAAAGGAAGTTTTTAAAAGGTTGTTAATCATTTTCTTTTAAAATAGCTCTGCTCAACAGGTATGTCAGAGATTATAACTCTAATTTTATGTGCACTTGTGCTTGTCCCCTTTGTCTTAAACTAGAATTAATGATATGAATCAAACACTATGTATTGGTTTAAAAAGTAGTTTTTGACAGTCTTCCAGTTTTTATATCAGTTCCTTCTTTGCTTTCAGCATCAATTCAAAGTGATGATGGCTACCAATTATTGATCGTTTAATATATGCCAGGCACTGTGCCAAGCACGTTTTACATACTATCTATTTAATCCTCACCACAAGCGTATGAGGTAGGTGGTGTTACTATTCAGCCATAATCAGCCTGAGACATGGCATTTCTACATCCTTTTATGGTGCTATCATTGAAGGGTCTCAGATGAACAGCATATTTTAGAATTAGATAATTCTCAAAGAAAGACTGCAATTCATTTCCTACTTAGAAAAATATCACTGACCAGATTCTATATCTAGTCACAGCCCAGAACCTGATGGTATTAAACGTGTTTTTATTGACCACTGTATTTCATAGTGAGTACCTACATTTCCTGCCTGCCTGGTGGTTGTACAGATTTAAAAATCTCGTCTGCCTTCATCTTTACTTTTCAAATCTTTTAAGAGATTTTTAAAAAATGTAGTCTATTATAAGCCAAGTGTCATTAGGTATGTAGTCCATTTATTTCCATGTTCAGGCAGGAGTTCAAGTCTTCTATAAAATCGGTTTATTTTTTCTTCTAGTAGATCTGTACATGGGTTCTCAGTGAATATCGAGAATGTAGCCAGGGCACAGCTGTACACAGTCTGTTGTACACTTGGCGGCGGTGGGTGTTTCTGAAGTCATCCTTTGCTTGCTGTACTTGACTCAAATATCCACAGTTTGGAACTAAGTACGTAACAGAAATGTCCGTCCTGCCTTCTCATTTATACATCAATAGCTAATAAAGTCTCTTTCTCTTAAGAAGCCCTTATGTGGCTTTGACTTATTAGGATGATAAGGGCATAGAATCTTATAAATAAGATTTTGAAAAATAAAAATGTAATATTTTTCCATGTAGTAAAATTGTCTTCTCATGACTTAAAATACAGGTCTTGAAAATACAGGTGTTGGTCTTGGTTATTACCTGGACGATTTACTCTGGAGTTGACCTATTTCATTCATCTTTTTTTCCAATTTGTTTGGATTTGATTCCATTTTTTCCTTCTACCTACTTTCAAAGCAATATTTATGGGGCAGCATCACCAAGAGCCCCTATAACAGTGTATATACTGGAAATTACAGCTATTTTTGTTCCATTGAATATACGTATAAATGGTAACATGCCTTGCTAGAAAGAAACTCAGGTTGTGTAAACTCCTCAGTCCCTGCCCTACCAAGGAATCTCCAGTTTAAATACTATGCACTTATTGGCTGTATTCGGTGCCTGATTCTAACACACATTTTGCTTTTCATCCAGATTCAGGAATTTAAGTTTTTTCTCTCTTCTTTGGGTAGTGTTCTTAAAGTAAAAACTTCTAGGAAAATGGTATGAGTTTGGTTCTCTTATCTTTCCCTCAGCAGCAGGAATTTTCTGAATATTTGGGACATTCAGATTGCTCCGGTAACAGCATTGAGCAGTTCTTCACAAGTGCTTCCTCTCAGCACTCTTCTGGGACACCGTTCTCTTCCCTGGCTGCTGTATTCTAGAAAGGCTCATTGTCCTGTGGGGAGTACTTTTCTTCACTGTCATTTGAACCTTATCTCCTCTTGTATGCTATTTACCTCAGCACAGAGCCATTACCAAGTGTAAGCAGTGACTGGTCTGAGAGGCTGACATTTTATGAGTAACATTCTAACAATGAAAACATTTGAAAGAGCCCTAACCATTTCTGAGCAATCTCTTGAGAGAAAGAAAAGTTAAACCTTTTGAACTGCTTACATTTTGTTTAATTTAGAGTAGAATATGGGGATTATACAATTTAATGAGGATATTACTTAGAGTCTGATACTGTCTGGTTTTACCTTATATAGTATGTTTTGAGGAGCTACAAGGAGAATTGCATGGGAATTTTTTTTTTCTTTCTAGACACCATTTTTTAAGAAGCATCAAATTATTGTTGCTCTAATTTGGCATATATTTTTCAGATACATGATGCTGTTGATATTTCAAATTACTACTATTTAAAAAACTCTACTTTGAGTTTAGTGAATTCAGGATGTGAAATTTACCTAGGTGGTAAATCATCTTTAAGGCAGTGCTGTGCTTACCACGGAAAAGTCTGTGATGAACCTTGATTCATTTCAGTAGAATCATAGTGTGCATACCTGGTGGCAAAAACTACTTTTGGTGCAGTTTGACTTTGTATCACCTCAGGCATGGGGCTAACTTGGGAAGAGCATGCCCTGTACTGTACCTAGCCTGTGCACCACACCAGCATGGAGCAGTCTGCGAGGGCCACCTTCTGCAAAGGAAGTACCCAGTTACTGGGTTCAGCTCTTTACATTTGATTTGTTTGGACCCATTTTACTATTTTGCCTTATTAAATAAAAATAGCAAAAATTGATTCAAGTCAATATATTAGCATTTTCTAAAATGAAGCCCATTTGTCTTTTTAGTCTTGCAAATAAAAGTCTTTTTTTTTTTTTTTTTTAAATAGAGACAAGATCTTGCTCTGTTGCCCAGCCTTGAGTACACAGTGATGTGATCATAGCTCCTGGCCGCTTTGAACTCCTCAGCTTAAGCTATTATAGGCATGAGCCCCTGCACCTGGCCTAAAATAGTCTTTTAAAACAGCTAACCAATGATTTAATCTTATTCTCCTCCCCCCCCCCAGCCAAATTATATTTACATAAAGGAACAATGAGTGAATTTTTTAAAACACTGATTTTTAGTAGATATAAATGATAGTTCGTCCTTAGTAAATAGGTCTTTAACAGACTACAGGGGACAACAGTATGTTGAACAGCTACAATTCTGCCAACTGGTTTAACTACATAATCTAACCCGCATAACGCTTATTCTAGGTGTAGATAGCATTAGCCCTATTTTCACATAAGAAAATGGAGTCAAAGAATAACTTACCAGGATTGCACAGCTAGTTAGTACATGACAGAGCTGAGATTCAAACTCTAATCTGTAGAATTCCGATAACTCATACTTTCTCCATTATGTCACACTAATTCTGTTTTTATGGAATATTTACACCAAACATGTAAGTGGGGAAACAGACAACCAAGGTAAAAATAATAAATAAATCCAGAGTAGGCTGAGTATAGTGGCTCATGCTTACAATCCCAGCACCTCTGGAGGCCTAGGTGGGAGGATCACTTGAGGCCAGGAGTTGGACACCAGCCAGGGCAACATAGACCCTGTCTCTACAAAAATGAAAAAATTGGATGAGCATGGTGGTGCCTGTAGTCCCAGCTATTCAGGAGGGTGGGGCTGAAGGATCACTTGAGCCCAGGAGTTGGAGGCTACAGTAGTCCTCTTTAGTTTTTTAAGTGGAGCAAAAAAAAAAAAAAAAAAACCAACGTTGTGCAACAGTTTGGAGTGGAACATGAGAATATTCTCTAAACCTAATCATTATTTCATTGGCTTTGATTGAATTGTTTCTTTGTTTTAAAGAACAGACCTCTGAATGCTTAGAAGATAAATATATATTTTGCAGCAGTCAGAATCGATAAAAAGTACTTTTCCTTATTTTTATCAACTTCAGTTCAGGGTTCTGAAGATCCCTGCAATAAGCTTCTATAGTCGTTTTCTGAGTCACAGACATCTGATGTGAATGTTTCTTGATGACTTGACATTTCTCCATAAGCATTGGAAAATCAGAGAAGAAAGGACTTCAGAACACCAAGGTGCTTGGTCCAAGGTGCCTGCCTTTAGAAGAGGGAGCCAGTGGGCAGGAAAAAGCCCAATTCTCAATATTTTGGGGGTTTGGACTAAATGTGTGGATGTGGTTTATATTTCCTATTTTTATATGTGGAGATAAAATACTGACAAATATTTAGATTTGGGGTTTTCTTGTGGTAGTGACGAGAATTGGGGGAAGAATGGAAATACCATCAACCTCCCCAACGTTCAGTTATTTGCAAATATTGTGCAATAACATCAAAAACTCAACTGTCCTTACAGTAGTTATTCCATCTGTCTATTGCTTGTTTCATCTCTCATTTATTTTTACTTTTTGGCATTAAAACAATAAATCTGTCAATTATTTTATGTCTTTGTTTTCTTTTATATTGTTAGTAAGTAACTTAAGTATCATGCCATTTCAGTTCTGTAGCTATAATCATTCATGTTATCCTTCAAGACAAAAGCTGTCTAACAGTCTGTGATTTAAAAATATAAACCAACTTTATGTTCAAACATTACATTAATAATATTTTTATCAGTATTAAACAGTGGAGGTCCAAATGGGATTATACTTTTGCATTGAATTTCAAAGTATTGGTAAGTTTAGCATATACCATATAGTCTTTGTAAATTCTTATGGGTACATCTTTTTTTTAACCTGTCTGTCAGTATCTCACTTAGAGGTCATTTTTTTAGTAAAACAGGATGACCTAAAAAATTCATAGTAATTATTGAAGAATATGAGTTACAGTGCGTTAACATGAGTCTACCTCATACCACCAATTCTGTTTGAAAATCGAGCACTTTGGCAGTTTTACCAAGAAAACAGTGAAGCACTTAGTGTGGCTGAATGTGATATGTTGGAATGATTTTTGGTTGCCTTTTTAGTTCATTGTTAGTCCTTTTATGTTTGTGTGTATCTATGTATGTCTGTGTGTTTGGTAAATATGAATTGAATAGATGACTTCTTATTTTATGTTTTAGGCCAAGATTGACAGACACCTAAATATTCATGACTTGAAAATATTCTGCAGCTATAAATTTTGAACCATTGATGTGCAAAGCAAGACCTGAAGCCCACTCCGGAAACTGAAGTGAGGCTTGCTAACCCTGTAGATTGCCTCACAGTTGTGTGTTTACAAAGTAAACTTTACATCCAGGGGATGAAGAGCACCCACCAGCAGAAGACTTTGCAGAACCTTTAATTTGATGTATTGTTAAGTGTTTTTTAATACATGTATGAAATGTAGAAAGATGTATAAGAAATAAATTAGGAGAGACTACTTTGTATTGTACTGCCATTCCTACTGTATTTTTATACTCTTTGGCAGCATTAAATATTTTTATTAAATAGACTATGTTGGTTTGTGTGAATTATCTTAGGATAGCCCTATTTTAAATGGATATTTTCCTATGGGTTTACTCTCAAATTTCTATAACTAGCAATTGATATTTAAATTGTAATTGGGTCAAAATGTTGGTCGTTTGCTTTATAGGGTTTTTTAGTTATCCTCTGTAGTCTTTCTATCCTAATAGTATTGGTTAGGTGAAAGCAATGATAGAACAGTTATAAAGTTCCTTTTCTTACTTGGAAAAATATTAATATAGGTAATGGTATTGCTTTAAATTAATTTCAAATAAGTACAGCAATGCAGTTTTTAAAAATCACAGTCTTATTTCTGTGTTGGATGTTACTCAAATATTTTCTGTTATGAGAAAGCCAAAAGTTCCTTCCTGAGTGAGGCTTTCGGTGTATTTGCCATCTCGTTTCCCAGTCGACTGATGGGTTTGGGTTGTGTATCCACTTATTGTCAGATTATTGGAGGTATTCTTGTTATCCAGAGACACTCGAGCCTCCACATCATGAGCAGCATTTTAAGGGTATTACAACTCAATTTTTTTTGTTTTGCCAACTGTGAAATTCTTATGCCATTCATAAATATGTCTGTTTCATCTTTTAAAAATTTAAATGATTTAATGTTCCTTTTTGCCTTTTATGCCAGGTTCTCTGTGTCTATTTTAGGTATAAGTAAACTTTATTAATTCCTGCTAGATCTTTCCTAAAGGATACATGGAAAGTTTATTATACTGTTTAATACAAAGCAGCACAGGAAAATAATCTTCCCATGTGTCAACAAAGCTCTTGGAAAGCATTGTACACTCTCAGCTACCTCTGTTTCCTTACTTTTCCTGTACTCTTTATCCCACCATTACCTGACTTTTCTTCTGTAGCACTCCGAAATTGACCCAAAAAGGTCATTTTATCTGGTACTGTAGCCAAATAAAGCTAACACTCTTCAATTCTTACCATGTATGACTCCTTGGCTGCAATGTTAAGAACTCTGTCTTTGAAGCTTTCTCCTTTAACTCTGTAAGACCTTTCTCTGGGTTTTCTTCATGTCAGTTCTTCTGTGCCTGACTCTTGAATATTGGCATTTCCAAGGACTCCATCTTTGGGCCTTCCTTTGATTTTAACACATTTAACCTTGGATGATCTCATCTTTGCACAAATCTTTAACACTAAGCTGATTATATGCAACGTCTTCAACTCCAGGCCAGATCTTACTTCAGCGTTGTAAACCACATATCTAGTCCCATTCCCTTAAATGGTCTTTGCGTAAATTCCTTACCCTCAGCCCCTCATTCCATTGCAAGTTCCTCCACTTGGGCTCCACATCCAGTTTGGTCACAAGGTCCTGTTAATTCTGCACACTGTCACTTCCACTGCCCCTGCAGCAGTTTAAACTTTCCTATGTTGTGGGCCACAGCAGCAGTCTTCCTGCCTAGTGTGCACCTGTTCGTGCCAGCCCACTCTGCATACCTGTTACCTTCCTTAAAATTCTCAACTGCATTTTAGTCCACTTTGCCTTCACTTGCAATCCCAAAGCTTCAATATGCTGTGTGCTCTGTTCCATCTTCTGGCTGTTATCTGCCTTTCCTCCGCAGTGGGCACCCCAAGCTGCAGCTCCACCACACCATTTAGAATTCCTGGAACATTGCTCTTATATCTGAATGAATATTTATTAAACAGTCATGCTCGGCAATATACAAGACACTGGTTATCCAGTGATGGGGAGGAAAACATTGTAGGCTACCACAGTCTTAAGGGGGTTAAAAAATAAGCATGTAAATAAGCAAATACGCAGTTAAAGTGCTGTGATGGAAATAAACAGATACCTACCATCTAGATGTGGAGAAGGAACTTTCCAGAACTTACGAAATCAGAAGCAGAGATAGGAATACTTGGGCAGTAAATGCTCTTTTGGAATGGCAGCATAGGCCCTCAGTGTGGAAAGGGAAGTGGCAAGGCAAGAACTCAGCCGTCCGGGTCTAATGCGAAGCCGGCCTGGTGGCTGCAGACTGCGCTGGCTTGTGCACCTGGGCGCTGCCTCTGAGGTAAGCTGCCTGCCACTGCCCTACATGGTCACCTTTTGATAAAGGTTTATCTCGACCAACAGAATCAGAAAATGTAATCTTGTGGGTGTTTGGATGGATCTCTTCCCAACGATTCTTAGACTCTTGAAATGCAGCTATTATCAAAATGGGATTGGTGTGAAAACCCCAACCACTGTGGTTGGACTTTGGAAGTAGAGTTGGAAAACTGAAGGAGTGCTGAGCTGACGCTTACCAGATGGAGACCAGACAGCGCATGGCTTGAAATGCCTGGGAGGTTGAGGGACCTTTTAAAAGCAAGCTGTAACAGCAAAGTTCACCCACTGTTCTAGTACTTCTCATTGGCTTGGTGGACAGCTTAAGGAAGCTGAGATGAAGGCAAGGTGGCCCAACACAATTCCCTGGTGCTTTAGTCAGAGTTCTCCAGAGAGACAGAGCCAGTAGAATATATTAATACATAGAAAGAGATGAGAAGGGGCTGAGGAACTGGTCACTCAGTGACTGGTGCTAAGGAGTCCCACTGCAGGCCACCTGCAAGCTGAAGGTCCAGGGAAGCTGGCAGTGTGGGTCAGTCCAAGTCCAAAGGCCTCAGAGTTGAGGAAGCCCACAGTTTCCTCTGAGTTTGAGGCAGAAGGCCTGGGAACCTGGGGGCTGCTGGTGAGAGTCCACAACCTGGAGAACCTTGTCTTGTCCGGGGACAGGTGAAGAAGGGTGTCCCTGCTCCTGAAGAGCAAGAATTCGCCTTTCCCTGCCTTTTTGTTCCATTAGGCATCCAGCTGATAGGGCGGTGCCCACCCTTGCTGAGGG